AGCTATATGTATGCATTTATTTATGTATGTATATGTATGTTTATTATTGTATGTATTTTATGTATATTTAGATATAGTTCTTATGCAGAGATATCAATAGCGTATTGTCGCCAATCGCCGCTTTAATTAATGTACTAAATTTACTGGTTGACTGGTAGAGAATGCCTCTTTGGCATTAAGTCCGCCATTTGTCTATTTCACTAGGCAATTAAGATTAAATAAATAAATAAATAATACAAAATCTGATGGCTATGATAATATGTGATTAAAACGCCCTATTTTAACATTTTTGATAAATTTGTCAATTAAAATGCTCCATTGTCAAACCTATGCATAAGAAAGGCGATAAAACTATTTTATAAATTATCGGCCCATTACACTGATAACAATTTTATCAAAGATATATGAAAAATTTATACATAACAAATTAATATCCTTTTTTAATAAATATTATGTGCTTAAAAATAATTAACATGGGTTTCAAAAAAATAAGTCTACTACACTTGCGGCCTTGGACTTGATTAACGAAATATTACAATGGTATCAGAGGTACGGCTTTAAATTGGATCAAAACATATTTACAAAATAGAATGCAATCTGTTGAAATAACTCAATTAGATTCAAAGAGAATAACTCGAAAGTATCAATCAGAATTAAATGTAACTACACATAGAAGTATTTTATTTGCTAATGATATATCAGTGGTATTGACGACTAATAATAATATGAAAATTTCTGACCACGAAAACGACATAAATAATACAATAAAGACCATGGTAAATTAGCTTAAATTCCATAATCTGACAATAAATATAGACAAGACATATTTTATGAATTTTAATAATATAATTTTTAATTACTTGAATATTAAATACCAAAAATACACGCTTGAAGAAGCTGATGACGTTAGATTCTTAGGCATAACTATTGACAAGAAAGTAGATTGGAAACAACATGCAGAAATCGTTTGTAATAAGATAAATAGCTTCTCATTTGCATTGTTTAAATTATCGAAGTAGCGACAAGAAGAACGGCTCTTACAGCATACTTTACTTATGTGGAGTCACTTTTACGTTATGCAATTATTATTTGGGGCAACGGTACAAATGCGCAAAGGGTATTTTTTTCCCAAAAAAATGCATAAGATCCATATGTAGTATCGCTCCCGATGTCTCATGTAAACAATGGTGTAAATTTCTCTGTATTCTACTTCTTCTTTGCTTATATATACTTGAAGCAGCGAAATTTGCCAAACAATACCCTCGCTATTACAAAATAGCTCATGAAGTGTATCCCAGGAACACTAGAAATAAAAATAGGCTAGTTCTTGACATATGGTCAGTTGCAGAGCGTACCTTTTATTCTGGGCATGAATTCTTAGATTATGGAAACTGAACGTTGGCTTAGGGTGGATTGATCAGTGCTTATAGTGACTTCTTTTGCTATATTCGCATGCTATTTTTAATGGCTGAATAGACGATAATTGTATTACATTTTTACACCTCTTTTGGGTACTTCTTGAAAAAGCAATTTTTGAGTGTCACAGGGACATATCTCCTATAAAAATAAATTATTATGATAAAAACTACTATTACATCGTTTCTTCATTTCATTAAGCATCGTGTCATATAAATTTCACGGATAAAAAACGACGTAGATCGGAGTAACTTACCCTCAACACCTCAAATCCGGTCAATTTTGCACGTTTTTACCGTGTCACACGCGCGCCGACTTTTGAGCAATCGCAAATATTTTTGAAATTACCCACGTTTTTAATCAGTTTGTTACACACATTTAAAAAAGACAAATCGGTTTACATATTGATCAAATTTCAAATTAATCGGAAGGAAACTTTTGATTTTATGGTCAGAAGTATACGTGTCACACGCTTAGCAAAATTTTCGCAGCGCGCCTTGCGCGAGATACTGTTCTGAGCTGGAGACGCGTAGACGAACCCCGATTTGTGATTATGAATCGTCATTTACGCCACAGCTAGCAGGTGAGGTGGCCACGTCGCTGTTTCCCGCACTTTCGTTGCGAGAATAAGTTCTTCAATTTCTTAAATTTTGGTTCTCAGTTATCCGGCTTTGCCATGTCACATTTTTTCAATATAATTGTACTTCTTCTAGAAAATGGGTTTTAATGTGAAATACCTAGCTCTATAATGTAGATAAACAGTAAAAAACTAGCCGATTATATCTTTTCAATGCAGAGTAATTTCAAAATATATGTTTTTTGGTAATTTCCATGGATAAAACACCATGGAAATTACGTATCACCCATGGAAATTACCTTGTTTCTTTTTGGTTGAAAAAAAACAAACGTTATGTTCAATGTTTGTTTTCAATGAAATGCACGCCATCGCCAAATACAGACTTAAATGTTGAATGTTGGTTATTTTTTTAAATTAAATCGTCTTAAATATCACCGGATTAAGTTAACATATTATATAATTTATTTATTTATCGTAAAAATTTACTTTGATTAAACACTAAATTGGTACCTCTATTGTTTTTGAGAAAACCACTGGCCCTACAGGTACCAAATTGGTGTTAAATGAAAGCCAATTAAATTTACAATAAATTAATTATTGATATTTGACGTAGGATGCGTATTTTATAAGATAATTGACAAAATAAATAACCACTTCGAAAAAGGGTTCTCTATGTCACTTCGAAACACGTTTCTTCGATAATTGATACATCGACAACTATACGAGTACGTCGAAGCCTTCATTGTTCGAAGTTTTAATACATCGCATATCTTACTTCGACGCCCGACTTTTGTTTGTCCGATGTAACGTTACTTCGAAAAATTTGCCAGATGCTAAAGTTTCAATGTTGGTCTCATAGTGAAAGTTGTTCAGTTTTATGGGCTGAGCTACCACCTGAGAGGTTTTGCGCTATTTCCATAACACGTTGTATATATTTTGTTTTTTGAGAACATGAACGTGTTTACGTTTCGTTCCAATTTTGAGTAAGTAATATCGTTTCAGTATAATGTAGGTAGATCTTAATACTACCCTAACTAATATGACAGCTTAATTTCATATATGACATGGTGTTTAGCAAAATTTTATCTGCTGTGTAATTTCCATTTTGTAATTTCCATGGTCCGCCAATTTTCTACATTTATTTTTAGCAAAAGTATAGATCTCAGTCGTGGCCAATTTTAATATGTTGTTTAAATTTGCAGAAGTTTTCGAAATGTTTATATAATTCACCATAATTTTGCGATTTCAAAAATGCCCTGGAAATTACACGGAGAACACATTTCCCAAGAATCACCCTTTTGTATACCCTATTCAAACGCAAATAAATTATTATTATTATTATAAGTGGTTGGGGTAATTCATATGGTCTTACCGTTAACCAGTCTAAAACTCGAGTTATTTTAATTGGAAATTTTAATTTCATTTCTAGGATCGAATTTGATTTACTGCCGCCAAAATAACCTTTAATGGTACTGTAATCCCTTATTCTAAAACCGTTAAAAATCTTGGAGTTATCTTCGACCAAGGCCTCACTTGGAAACCACAGATAGAGGCCGTTAAAAAGAAGGTATTTGCCACATACGGGTTACTTAATCGCTTGCGCAAATTCCTACCTACTCGAACCAAGGTCTCTTTGGCGCATTCTCTACTTTTATCCATCATCCATTACGCTGATGTCTGTTACACGGATTCGTCGGAAGAAGTTCTCAAAAAATTGGAACGTCTGAAGAATATTTGCATCAGATTTATTTCCCATCTCCGTAAATTTGACCATGTATCGCATTTCCATTCCAAACTCAACTGGTTCCCAATTCACCGGCGCAGGGACTTACATACCCTAAGCCATTTCCTTTCCTTATCTTATTTTTATCTCCTTTTACATAGTTTTTATTATAATATATCTTGTATCCTTCCTATCATTGCACCCAATACTCCATATTATCTTTACCCTTTTTATTTTTTGTCTTCTATGTAAGAGATTGCTGCTAAGAAATAAGACCGATCTTTGTTTTTTTTTGTGATTCTCTGTAACTTGTTTTAATTTTTGTTTTATTGTGTGCAATAAAGTATATTATCATTATTATAAAATATTAAGAAAATATGCACGATTTTTTAACAAGAGAGAGCACACCCCTTCTATTAAATAATTTCGGCTGCCTTCTCTCAACTGCTTGCTTTAATCTTTTTAGTTGTTCGCAGTACAGTTTAAAATCCTGCCATGCCTGGCGATAACTGATCATAATGGCTAATGCCCTTCCAATTCCACCATACACACAGCATCCCCTTTTTGAGAGTTAACACGGGTTTCGGCACAGTCTGAAGCCTGACCGACTTTTGATAAAGAGTCACGTGCTTGTCGTACGTGAACCACTTTTCAATAACCTTTCTTCGACTTCGACTTTCTTCATTAGATTCACTCATTTTGATTATGTAAAACAAATGAAAATCACACATTTTCCTCATTTCAATTCAGAGTAATTTAAAATTTAAATTGTTTAGTGATATTAAAAACCAGCCAGATACAAAAGGTATCGCCAGAAATAATTTATTAAAAGTTTATCCATATTGGACCCTAAAAGACTTTTATCGGAACCTAATATATAAATTTAAATGTATGTATTTGTATTTATAATATATAAATTATTACATAAAAATACCCCCACACACACACACACACACACACACACACACACACACACACACACACACACACACATATATATATAAAATATTATGTAGTAATATTTCCTTTTTATCATTTATTATATATGAATTCGTGTGTTTTCTAAATTAATAATATTTTTAACTGAATTCAAATATGAAAAACTAAAACTATCCCATAACAAAAATTATAATGTGATTTTGTCAAATTGTTTGAATATTGGAGCTAACTTTTTTATAAAACACAAACATTTTGAAACATTTCTTTATTAAAAAAATATAGTATTATTATACGATTAATACAAATATAGAAAAGTAAAAAAGATAAGTTTAATAAAATCGTTTGCTACTTGGACTGTTTTTGATGATTTGTCAATTTCATTTTTTTATGCTTATGATGCCTACGAGCGGTTATTTGCTGTGTAGTCGCTCCATCTGAATCTTCTTTATTTACTTCTATTTTTGGAGTTGCTTGATCTTTATCAACTTCATCATCTTGCAGACCTTGGAATTGTAATTCAATATTCCGAACTTCAGACATATCTTGTTCATTTTCATTTCCGTCATTTTTCATATCTCTTTTTATGTTCATCCAATCCTTTGCTTCATCTCTTGTTATTTTCTTCTCATATATCACATAACCATCTTTTGTCACATACTGCAGCACAGGAGTCAAGAGAGCTCCTCGGTTATGTTTCTTCTTTTTTAACCTGTGTCTTCTGTTAAACCTTCTACCGTTTCTCTTAAAACCCCTATTACCTCTCCACCATCCTCGGTTTTCATAAGAAGAGTCACTAGAAGTAGAAGTATCTGAAGACGTATCAGTATCGGCACTAGTATCGGAGTGGTAATATGGAAGTCGCGGTGGTCTTTTGGGAAAATGTGGAGGTTTTTTACCAGGAGGTTTCTTATACGCAGGGTCTGGGGAATAAAAAGGCATGACAATAACAGGGACTTTAGGTGCTGGCCCCACTACAGGCATTGGCATGGGCATCATTGGCATTGAACCTGTTGGTAGGCCTGCCGGTAATCCTGGTGATAAACCAGGTGGAAGTCCAGGAGGTTGTGGTGGTACTGGAATAGGCGGAAAACTAGGCAGTCCATCAGGTGGAGATTGAAAGAAAGGAGGCAGTGGGAACATCTGACCACCCATTTCTTGACCTGGGAGTTTTGCATTTCGAGGCATTCGACAATGCATCGGTAGATTCTGTGGTAAGAATTGAATATTAGTAGGACATAAGGGTAACTCTAGTTCATCACATTTAGAGGAGGTTATACTTAAAAAAACTGTAATAAATTTTAACCGAATCTTCATTGTTTCCCAGTAATATTAATTCTGCTTCTTAACTTTAATGTCACTACAATGCTGAATAATATTAATTAAACATTTGACAAAGTAAGAAGCACTTGCCTTTCTCGAATGGTTTCTAGCTGATCTCGCTACTATAAATGATTTTATGGCTGTGATGCTTATTGATTTTATCAACTATTCAACACCCAAAAAACAATAGCTATTATATCACAATGTTGAACTTTATATAATTGCTGTACAATAGGTTCAATTGTTAAAAACATTGGATTTACGTAATGATTTTTTTTTATTAACGATAATTATGTACTTTGATTTCTATTTTTATGGAAGGATATTTCAAAAGACATAAAATTGGTATTAGATCTCTTAATAATATAGAAATAATATACTGTTCAATAATTATCGCACAAATGCTTTAATGGGATGATTTATCAAAACGCCATTATACAACAACGTAAATGCTTACCTATATGACTAAATTCATAACATTATTGGTATTTTTGAAAACACTTGTTACGCTATTAATAGTAGTACCTACTAGCTAAGAGTATATATTGAACATCACATTGGTTTCTGATTCAATACGAAAATCTAATATTTTAGGCCCACATATTTTTTCTAAGACTATATAGTAAGTTTGAAATTATTAGGTGTTTCATTCATACGTTTAATGAATAAATTAGTGAGAACATTTAAGTCGTAATAAATAAATTATACAGTATAACTTAGATAGTTAATACAAAATATTGTGATTGGACTGACATCCTCATATTTACTACACAACTATTTGGTTTTATATTTGGTCACAATTATGAGACACTTAGTAACAAAAATAATATAGGTTAATAATAATAAGAATTAATTAAAATAATAATTTTATCTTTTTCAGATGCCGATGATATTGAAAATAACCATCTCGATACTTGGATTCTTTAACCTAGTGTTCTGCCAAATGTTGCCAATGCCGTTTCCAGGACCTTCGCCAATGGCATTTCCAGGACGCCCGTTGATGCCATACCCAGGATCTATGCCAAATTTCATGCCACGAACTGTACAGACTGCCATCATGCCCAGTGTACCACAACCCTTACCACTTCCAATGCCAATGGCATTACCTCAGCCTAAATTACCTGTTGTAGTGATGCCATTCTATGATAAACAAAAAAATAAGTTGCCAAGGAGGCATAAAAAGAAGAGAAAGCTCAAAAGAAAATATATCAGCGATTCCTCATGCTCGGATGACTCCGATACTGATTATTCTTCATCATCAAATATAGACTTTAGAACCAAGAAAATTAAACATTCAAAAGGAAAACACAGAAGAAAGCAAGAAGTTCTCACTCCCGTATTATCATATGTAACTAAGAATGGTTACGTAGTTTATCAGAAAAAGATAAACGGAAACAAAGTTAAAGATTGGGTGCAAGGGAGAAGTCGATATTCCAATGACATGCCAAGAGCGACTAAAAGAAACAAAATGACCGTTGATGAGCTAAAAAGAAATATATACAGTAAGTTTTCAAAGAATGCAGACTACGACTGAAGTCTGAAAAGTTTTGTTATGGTCTAAGATAATTATGTAAATGCGTAACATTCTTTTTTCAGGTTTTTAAAAGGTTTTTGAAATATATGCTTTGCATTGTAATATCTTCGTTTTGTTATTTTATATTAAACTGGCATCCAGGCAGTGAATTATAAATACTTACTCTTTTTTCAATAATTCAAAGTACTTTTCTTTTCAAATACAAGTTAGGTCAACCTAATAGATATTTTAAATGAACATTATATTAGAATATTATTTTATTTTAAATTTATGTCACCAATAAAAATTACAACCTATTGGTTAGGTAAGCTCTTAATAACAAAGCCTATTGATCTACGTTTGTTTTGCTTCACACAAAGTACAACAATACATTACATAAAAGCTTATAAAACTTCATTCCACTAAGACAGGAGGTAAATAGCATTAACTTTTTCTAAACAAAGCAAAAGTAAGTAGAGATCACTTAGTTACGTTGTGTGCATGTGGTAAAAAGATATAAACGGATATATTATTTTAATATACTTTGTTTTTCTTGTGAATCAGTAAAAAAATGGAATATACAGAAATTATTAATCTAAATTGTTTTGTTATAGATGTTAAAACTTGCCCAGGCCCTAATTTTATTACTAATGACTATCTCGTTATCAGTATCAGCCCACAAACACGAGAAGCATTGCTTAAAATGTTTAATGCAGAATTATGATGTGATACAGAGGCCTAAATATTACTGGCCATGGGCTGCCGGTTTTAAAATGGATCTCCCTGACCATGTATCTCCTTTATACTTTACTGGATAGAATAACGTTACAAAAACAGTCTTCGACCCTATAGATGTTAATTAAAATTATATTTGTTGTATCGTTAAATTATTTTTATAAAACTTGATACCAAATGCTAAATCTACTCATTTCATATATTTTTCCGCATACTCATTAATCAATTTATTATCTATATACAAAACGTACATAGTGGATGTTTTGTTTTGATTTATTAATTGAAACTTCAATATCAGTAAGTATTGCTTTTAAATCACATCCCTAGACAGTGACATAACACTGACAGTTCCTGTCGTTTAATTTGTCATGTTTGTTTTCAGTAAAATGTCAGTCAAGTCGCATTAAATTATTTGTCTGTCAGTAATGGTGATAAAGTGTTGTGAACAGTGCATGCCGGTTGGATGCCGTATTTTATTTCTTTCTTAGAATTTAAAAAAGTTAATGGCGGTGTTTATTGTGATTCAGTTGATTTTTTCATTAAACATTCCTATTGCTTAACGTGTCGTATCTTAAAAATGCTAAAATCGATGCAATTTTGAAATGGTGTGTGCTTAGCACGTTTGTTTTTTGGAATGAAACCTTTTGTCATGTGATTTTTTAACGGCGGGAGTTTATTTTAGACTTCAGTGATAATGGAATCAACTGGTGAAGATAATTGCCTTAACTTGGATGCTGATCTTAACTACGCATCGGAAACAAATTTTGATTATGATTTGTAAGTATTAATGTTATTGTCGCAGTTCGTCGTATTTCAATATAGGTAAATTTCTTATTAAAAAGAAATACTCTTGAAATCGATGATTACAGTGTACTATTTGCATTTTTATGATAATAGAATGATATTTGGTGCTAAAAATATTTAAGCTCTTTACATACACTTAAATTACAGCCTAAATATTACATATAGTTTTATCAGTCAAGCTAATCACAGTTATCAGGTTATTAAAACATTGAACACTTAGCTTCAATAGCAGAGGTGAGATAAGAATAAACATTTTATTACAACTATGATACTGTTAATATGCCTAGCCGACCATCATGGATATTTAAAAAAATTAATTCCAGAATATTATTATTACATGAAATATTTTTTTATTTCAATTTGTCATATTGAACAGAACATAACATTACATTAATAAAACACCAACACAAGTAGCTGTAGCTTTGTCACATGCAAATGGCCTAAATTGCCAATTCTACAAAATAGAATACTCTTTTGGGAAGAATAAATCACATTGTAAATTTATATGGTGGTACAAAAAAAAAAAGGCTTAGTTTAAATAGAGAGCTGTACATAATATTGCATTTTGGCAAAAATCAAAATACCAATAAGTATATAAACTTGTAAATCTACACAGTTTTGAGAAAACAGGTAAGGTGGAAAGAGTGCAATTTATAAATAAATTTTGATTAAGTTACAGAATTTACATTCAGATAGCTGTACTATATTATAGAACGTCTGTGAATTTTAAATTTTAAGTTTTGATTTACTTGTATAGTTTTGTGTATAAAATAGGCATATCAGGAATAATAATTTGTGCTCCATTTTTGTGTACCAAAAACTTGCAATAAAGAACTAATTTTAAGTTAAATGATACTATAGTTCACTTAAAGTGAGCTCTTAACAGGAAGTGCTAACTATGCAATATTGTATTATCTGTAATGCCATATATATCATTTATAAAAATATAAGCTTGATAAAAGCAAAATAAAAGTGCAATGATTCTTTAATTAAATCTGTTGTTAAGTTTGTATGGAATTGTTCTTTATGTAGGAACTAAGACATGGTTCCTTACTGTGGGCTTTTTAAATAGGTTCAGAGTCTGGCATTTTGTTCAGTTGATTCAAATTCTTTGTTAAGGTCTATAATTTAACTGTAAAGCATGAGTGAATAGGTATTTTCTGGGCAAACATGTCCCATCTTAGGCCTTACGCTTAATATTATTACACCTGAGGTCAAGAGTGAGCCCATCTCGGAGAAAAAAAAATAAAGATATTTTTATTATTTATAGATTTGGTAACAAATAAAAGGCATAACTAAGTAGCAAACAATTATTGTTAAAAATCTAATAAGACCTACTTATCATATTTTTGTGAATATCTCATTTTGTTTTATAATTATAATATAAAATATTTTGACTATTTAAAATCAAAATCAGTTAAATAGGAAGCAAAAAATAAAAATAGGTATGTATAGATTATCTCTAAAGCCATATTTTTTATTTTAGTAATTTGCTACACTACTTTTTGCTTGTCACATTTGTCAGGCAAGTGCTATATTTAGTCAGTATACTTGACATAATATTCACTGGTTTTATTTTCCTATTTGCCAAATACCTACAAAAATATGTGTTAGATTCTTGCTAAAAGCCAAATGTGGTGCCACTGTAAGATTGAAAGGATAAATAGCCTGACATTAATTGAAGGTCACATGTCATGGTGTTGTAGCAAATAACATTAGAATAACTCTCAAAAATTTGTCTGCGGTCTATAGAGAAAGCACCTCCGTAGCATTATGGAGTGGTCCAACTGCAATGGTATAGCTGTAAACACATCTAAGTGCCAAAGCATTATTATACGTACTTCTTGTCAATAGGCCGAGCACCGTTACCTGTTACTTATTCTGTTTCAGTCTTATGTCAAGTACCTGGGCCTGCTTATTAACTGTACTCAGTTGGGAAGTACAGGTTGGGGAGGGTTGTCGCTTAGGTTTCTTTATAGAGAAAAATTCTTCCTCCCTTCCAGCACTAAAATTGCATTAGTACAGGCTCTTCTTTTATGACCCATGTACCCTGGGATATTTGAAATCAAGGTTTCAATATCTTGGTTCCTGTAGTCAACTTGATCTTCGCTCTGGTAGCAACATTGTTTTCAAAAGCCCCCTTCATCATACTGTATTTGTTTTCAAATCCTTTACCCTAACTACTGTCTGCTGTGCCTTTGTTTTACCACTTCAAATTAGGACTACTAAAAGTATTATGGTGTTTAAGATATTGGTTGGTAAGCACTATCTTAGTAAAATTTCATTCCTATTCTGCAATTTATTTTATATACCTATGTATTTGTATGTTCATATTATATCATTACATATATTAATTTTATCATTCTATTTTGCATTTTTTTATTCTTATCGCCTTATAACTGATCTGCAACATCTGTTCGGGTCGACTGGTAGAGAATGAATAAAGAATAAATAAAACAGAGACAAAATATTTCTATATAAGATTTATAATTATTATACAGGACCAGGCGGGCGAGCTGGAGGAAAGTTATAACATATACATGTAACTAGCTGCTGTCCCGCGACTTCGTAGGCGTAAATTATAGCCGATGTCGACCTTGAACTTGACTTGAAATCGGTCCAGTAGTTTCAGAACATATTCTATGCAAACAAACAAACAACCAAATTTTTCCTTTCTATATTAGTATAATCATTAGACCTTTTACGTCCCCACTGCAGAGGCTCAGGCCGTCCTTATGGATGGTTAAGGAGGATGGGCCATGACCCTCCATGCTGGCCCAATACGGATTGGAGGGTATTAACGACTGCAAATGCAGCCGGGACCAACGGCTTAACGTGCCTTCCGAAGCACGAAGTAGCTCAAGATAATATTTTTTTGGTCACCCATCCCGTGACCGACCCTTGCGAAAGTTGCTTAACAACAACTATCGCGGACCGCGGCGCTTATCCTCTATGCCACCGAGCTACTCATATTAGTATAGATGAGGGGTTCCCAATCTTTTGTAATCTGCGGCGCAGTTACAAGTTTAATATTTTTTCACGGCGAAACGGCACTCTTCACAGTGAAAGAAATAGGTACCTACAATAATAGTAGTTACGTTCGATCGAAAGGAAAAATAAAACACCACAATATGAAATTGACTTTTTTAATTATAAAATAATTTAAACGGAATCAACAAGAAAGACTTAAGATAAAAAGAAAATTAAATAATATATTTACTCAGTGGAATCAACGTGAAGGGTGAGCTTGGTGATCTCCGCGCAGTTTTTCAAAGCGGGGAATAAGAATTGACACTGCTGCTGTCATCTCTTTCTCCACATCGATCCTTGAGCGATATTTATTCTTTATGACAGCTACAGCTGAAAAACCAGCTTCACATAGATATGATGTTGCAAACGGAATGAAAATTTTTAATGCTTTGGAAGTTAAATGTGGATATTCATTTTGAATCGATAACCAAAACTCCAACGAATCGACTTTTGCGAATCTAGTTTTAAGGCTGCTGTCGCAAGAGAGTTCAATTAGACTCTATTCATCTTGTGATGTAAATACTGAAATGAATTATGTATTAGATACAGTCAACGGCACATCACAACAACCACTTACAAATCGGTCCGATTTCTCTACTGGATTTTAAATCTCAATGTTTTGTAAGTAGAGTTTAAAATCAATCTTGACTTATAACAACCTAACGTGCAGGAGTTCAAAATATTGCGTGCTGAATTTTTGCACAGAAGATAATATACAACTTACATCTTGTATTTTGTGAATTTGTGATTCCTACAAATTTAGAAAATAAATACTGTGCAGTCAATATGGAAGCAATCAATCTCACGAGTTAGAGGTCGCGGGTTATGACGTCAATGAGGTACCTACTTGCCTTTGTTTGGTCATACTTTGGAAAGTCTCTCATGCCGTGCATAAATAGAAATCTAGATCCACGAGAAAATTTCATACTAAAGTATTCAATTTTACTTTGTTTAAAAAAGTACTTGTAAATATTTATTTTAACTTAATAAGAAAAAAAAAATGTTTTCTTGCCTTAAAATTAAAATTATTTTATACCCACGAAAACGCTGTCCGCCTTTTTTATAAGATCAAAGTCAAAGTCAAAACAATCTATTTAAATAGACTGCTTTAAAGTACTTTTGAATCGTCCAACATTTTTTTCTATACCGCTCGTTCAGGACGTCTTTTGACTGATAAGAAGAACGAGCAAGAAACTCACCAGCTCTAATAGGAGTAATGAATGACATTTACAAAAAACCTATCATTACCAGATCAATACATTATAAATAAAGAGAGAGAAAAAAAGCTATGGTATTATAATAATAACGTAATCATTTAATAATAATGGTAGCCAGATAATTTTTGATAAGAAGTAATCACTTATCCAGTCGCTGGATCATCTCAAGTCCAAGCATTCTTAACTGTTATATAATCGGATACCTTATAATAAGCTTTATAATTATATTTATAATATAAGGTCATATTAATATGTAATCTAAATAGATGTGTAGGGTATTATTTTTAATCAATTAAACAAGGAGAATACCATTTAACGAGCTATAAAATTATCGGCATTGCAGTCATTATTTAACCGCTTATTTTTATTACTTCTTGTCGTAGGTCTCCTCCAAGTTTTTCGATTCCTGGCGGTTCTGTGCCTTCGTGACACAAGGAGACTACTGGTCTTCTTGTGTCTAGATGTTATCCACATAACTATGTGGTAATCTTCCTTGGGGGTTTTTCTGTTGTCTCGATCTCCAATCCAACTATTTTCGAGGCATCACCCCCTCACATTTCACTGATGTGTAACGCCTACTTCCACTTACATCTAGCTATGTCTGGCACCTTACTTTTCTTTTTTTCTAGAATTTGGCTTAAAGCGTACCTCGTTGGTTATAAGGTACCCTTCCTATTTTCCTCTGCGCTACTCTACTACCGATGTTTCCGTCAGTCATTATTTCCGCTGCATAGGTAAAAACACACAACTAGGGTTACCACCCGTACTTTATAATAAGGTATTGTACGTTGTTTCAGACAATTGTACGCTATACTCTATAAGAAAAATAAAGTACACGAAAATACTTTATTCGTATGATTTGATTTGTTTGTGATTTTGAAGCTTAGTCGTAAGTATTTTTTCGTTAAACAAAATTTATCGAATCGCTGAATAGATAAATAAAAAGAAAATGTATTTTTAAGTTTAGTAATAAAGAAAAATAAAAAATACTTTATTTTGATTCAATTTACTTTGTTTTTGTACCTATAATAACTAATGTACTTTAATTTTGGAAAAAAAGGTGGCAACCCTACACACAACACACATTGCTCAAAAACCTTCGTCTTTATTTCAATACAGCCTGTCGCATAAGATTCGGCGGTTTGTGTGGAAAACTGCCCGTGGAGATGCATCTATCGGCCTCTGAGGTTTGTTTACAGAGTGGGTTTTGTGACCTTGGTTAATGACGTCTACAGGTAGTTGCTAATTTTGTTCCGTCTAGGAGGTCGGTTATGATCTTTGTCTTAGATATATTTAATTATAGTCGAACCCAATCTGGTTCCCACTTTTACGTAATTTATCATATCTATAATTTCATTGACATTTTTGGAAATAAGTACCTGTATCAGTACTAAGCCATCATCGACAAAACCTTATGTTTGATACGTATTATTCTATTTTGATTAGAACGTTCTTTTTTGCCCAACCTAACCTCTTGAAAATGTTCTCCAGTGCAGTAGAGAACACCTTAGGGGATATGGAGTGGTGTCTCCCTGGCGCAGTCATTCCGTCTGTCTAAACTCTTTTGTCTTTTTGTTTAGACTTATGCATGTTGCTGTAAAATAAGGCAACAATAACGACATTAAGAACTGTGCTATAAAATAATTATTTTAACCGTCCACAGGTCTGACAGGTTACGAAATGTTTTTGCCAATATGACGTCACACGATGGTTGATCGTGTGTCCTGTCACGTGACACACATATTGAAAACTTTAAATATCATTTAAAAAGACGTTTTCAAGTAAAATATTTTAGGCGGCAGTATGTTTCATATTAACCATTTAAACTTAATCTTCAGTGTCTTTACTAAAGAAACATTTTTAAAGTTATAATAAACAAATTTATATTTTTAAATATGATTACTTATCAATAAATCATTATTGGAAGTAGGTATTTTTGATAACATTGGAATTTATTTTCAATAGTAAGGAAATCACATTATCGGAACAGCCTAGTTAGTATCGCTTCCGTTAGGTTCATATTTTCTGTTTTAATGTTCTTTCGTTAAATATACTTTAGCAAATTCACTAAGATCCGTGTCATCCACTTCCTAACATGTTATTGTCTTGCTAAAAATCCCCGTGCCATCGCTGAATGCTAGTTAACAATGGCAATGTAATTCGATTTGGTGAAGGTCGATATTGTGAGTCACTGAGTGGTCAGGCAACGCTCCTATAACCCTACAACGGTGCTCCTGCTGATACGGAACTCACACAGACATTGCCTTATCAGACGCGATACTATGAAGCGATATTATCATCTCGATCAAAATCGTTGATACGCCTTCGCAAATCATGAATATTTTTAGATTTGTATATTGGATGATTCACTTCGTAATATATTTTCTGCTTACACTTTTAACCACAATCTATGGTGTGTGTTTTCAAAAATCATGGCATTTAGTTTTGAAACTATTGAAGATTTACGCATACAGTTTTCCCCCAGCGGCTTTGCCTGCGTGGTCCTGTATTATACATAAATCTTTGTATCGAATCGCTATGTATATTTATGAAAACCGGTTACAAATCAGTTGCAGCGGAAAGTGACTTTTTTCACACTGTGTATAGATGTAGTGTAGATATTCCGAAATAGAATGACTTGCTGGGTAAGGGAGTAGCACTAATGTATCTCTTGTAATATTTAACTTCCAAATAGTTGTGTTATTGATTTTTAATTAAAGAACTCGTATCACCTTTGTTAGCTTCTTAATCTCTCTTTAATTATGACTCTATAACGCTTATTGAGTAGTGTTATTGAATATATTTATTTTATGTACAAAAACGATGAAATCACTCCGCATTAAATCTAGCAAAGACAATTTCCTTACCTTTTATTATGTTATGATTCAGTACGGAAATATTACTTTGAGATTGTCAGGTTTTAAATTGGTAGATAGCCATTAAATACTTTGAGACATCTTTTAAAATAGAATGTTTGATATTATATGCATGACATTTCTAATATGTATATTTTATTGTCTCTCGCCTGACCCACTTAAAGTGGTATATTCTGAAATATTATTCGATTCAAGCAACTTTTAGGATTTGAGAATTAGCGTCTGCGCAAATCTGACGGAAGATCCATCAAACGTATCACGCAACAATGCGTTGATACGCGACGGTATTTCAATCGAGTCTTTATTTCTGTCAGGCGACACATCATACATCAGAATATGCATTCACCCTTAATGATAACGGTTGCTAGGTATTATCATTACTTTTGTTAAGTAAAAGTGTTGATATTTCATAACTTTTTCCATAAACATCTACGTAACTTTGAATTATTATTGATCAATATTGTGAAATATTTCCAAAATCTGACATCTGATCCGTACAGCACTCTTTACTTATACCAGTGAATATAACGTCGGTATGTTTACCAATTTGCACATCACAAGGTTCCTACAAGTGTTATTCACATCAGACCGGCTTTATTTCAAGATTTCGTAAAAAATGACAAAACGAAATAGAATTTAAAAAAAAAAGTGTCATAAGTAGTTTTTTACAAAATTCCGCAAGCGTCTCGTTTTAAATTAAAAAAAATAATCACGTTAGGTGTGAGCTGTGTTTGTTGGCATCTAGGTATTCTTTAAGAGTTTGTAATAAATTGTTTGAGTATCATTTGTTATTTTATATACTAATGCTAAATGTGAATACTAAAAGGACTTTGGTAACCTGTTTCACACATCCGATACGCTCGCTGAACTGGTACCTTAATAGCTAACGTAAAACGAGTGGAGCTGTTTTTGAGGGAGTGTCTCCCTCCGCTGCTTAAGGACAAACAGGTCCATAATATGATGTTTTCAATGCCCGGACAAACCTTGACATTGAATTCACAAGGCAATATTTTGATGTTCTCTGTGCATAATGAAGGATACAGATTTTTGTTTTTAATGATACATAAATATATCCACCTGAAATCAGTTTTCGAATTCAAAAACTTAAGAGCACCAGCGATAGATGATTTTGTCTGCTGCTTGTACATGATTACTGTGACTGGAGCTGTATTTGTTTAAAGGCTGGTAGATTACCGCATGCGGGCACTCCCTGAAGGCGGAATTACAGTCAATAGCGCTAGTGTCCTCCACTTACAGTATTAACATTTGCAGATGCTGTTAAGTTAAACAGAGTAAAATATCTTCTACAACTTGAAGAAGCTCGAGTCCAAATAATTAAGTCTAGTTACCCATTCGATATGTTTTTGTGAAAGTAGCTTATTTAACCTCCGTAATCAAATACTGACTGCAAAAAATCTACGCCATCGAACTCCTCACCATACCGCAATTTTTAAATGACACTTGATGATCTATTGTTTTATTGTGAATAGTCATTAAATCAAATGTTACATACAAGCATTTGTGTAAGACGAAACTCTATGTCACCGGTTCGTAAATCTACGACGGGAGACCTTGTACCCAGAAGCATCGGCAAGAAACTCAACAAAGGCCGCTTTTGGCATAAAAATGTTATAGTCTTCGCATATTTAAAAATAATTCTTAAACTTCAAGCTCGGTGTTCATTTGCGTTGTTCCAGCGATGACCTAGATGTGGTGATCCGTCACCAGCGCTGTTCGTCCTCCTACCTACTGGCGGACGGTGGTGATGGCGCAGAGGCAGACCTCCTCGGCACCACGCCTCCCCGCTCCCGCATCAGGAACAAGGAGATCCGCAAGTAGGTTATATCTGTGACTGTGAACCTTGAGAAAAACCTATATGGGACTTGGAATAGTTGGCATTTTTCATATAATCTGGTAAATTATTGAAAAGACCAAAGTACCTAACGACTGCATTCGATTATTTTCTCTTAAAAAAGCTTTTGCACTAGGTTAATATCAAAATGGTTTTCCCATTAGTTGGCCTTTTTTTGAGTTAGTTCGGTCTTCTCTCTTCCACAATTTATTGGGTGAAATGTCGCTTCTATGCATTGTGTCTTTATTTTTTTTTTGCATATCTGTTGTATTTCTCAGTTTTTCATGTTTAAGTATTTTAAGTTTCAATGTCATATATAATGCTTGTAACAATGGCATGAGTGGTTTGGTTACAATATAAGTATTTGATATATAGTTGCGATCAACAAAGTCCATGGTCCTTAGGCTAACTTAACCGACCACCTATGTAAATCGAGTATAACGAGACGCGCGCGTATAACTGTACTTTTATTTATCGGAATTATTTTCCTGTTGTCAGCGACTCTGCGCGTACCTCTCGCTATAAGGGGAATGCACTAATTTTCGACTATTAGTTTTGATCTTTGTGTAACGACAATGTTAGTTTAATATGAATTTACGTATTTTAAAACTAGGTGACCCCACACACTTCGAGCTGCTTTATAAATTATATAATACAGCCTATATTACTCGGTTATATTCAACAATATATAGTATATTGTTGAGTTTATCCATTTAATAACAAAACATAAATATTTAGAAAGTGGTTAATGTTTAATTAATAATATACGATTAGTCACAGGATCCCTTAAATAAATTCTATGAAATATGTAATACACGTGCATTAGAACTACAAGAGTTGTTTAATAACATAATAAACCTACTTAAGTATTCGCGGAAGTACAACATATAATTTAATAAGTACAAGATAATACTCCTCAAGCCACGGTAAATAAAACTAGTGTTACTTACTTTATACGTTTATAAAAATATCTATATTTTTGCAAGTAATCAGAACTTTTTGTGACACTTTAATAAATCTACATACAAATAGTATTAATTGTATTATTAACTGTAGATATTAAGGCATCTATGAGATCTCTATTTTATTTTCTGATCATTATGTATGATTTTGATGGTATAATCAAGTTGGTTTTTAAGTTTTTAAACTTCTTAAGGAAAGAATATATAGATCCACACCGTAATCCTATTATATATAAGCGGATATTCCTCCCGCGATTTCAAATATGTTACTTACCAAATCACTGATACGTTTAACTGCATTTATCTAAAAAACACTATCGAAGGTGATGTTATCTAAATAAGTTGAACAATAAGTAACTTTATAATTATAGGTATACGCTCTATTTTGTATTAACTGATAGGAAATACGCAGCCAGCCACTATTATCAGCCGCGTGTCTATCTGTTACATTATATCATTGTGAATGAGTGTTATCATAATATTATTGGATCGTTGTGGGCAGATTTGTACGTTGCTTACTATCCATGGTTTTGTCTATATATATATTTGTAACTCTATTATAGTCTTCATTATTTATGGCGTGTTTGTTTAATATTGTCATAGATTGATTGATTTGGTAATAACAAAGTTTATGTAAATGTAATGGCGTTTATAATGAATAAGTAACAACTCATGTCTACAACTCACAGGTTTCTTGTCAACCAAAAGATGTCGTGAGCCTAATGATTTAGGTTAAAAATATTGAACATTTCAAAAGTACTTTCGATAAGTTTATTTCAACAATATTCTGATTTTGATATTCTATGTTAGTGTAAAAAATTTATCTAATTATGTATTAAAAGTTTGCTCAATGCTGGAAAATAATAACATTTTTTGTATCGACAATGAAACAGATACATACCGAAGACGCCACAGACGTATAAATAATAAATATATAATAATATAGTTCTTCTACCTACAAGTATTAGGCGGATCAAGAAGCGCGCAACTTAGACGTGGACAATCTATTTTAATGATTTGTTTCTAACCATTATGATATTTATAAAATGGCTGTTGTCAACTCCTGGATACAAAGTGACTCAAGTGAACATATTGTTACTAGTGTCATGATTAAAAAATATTCTAAACTATTATTTCATTTACTGACTCCAATAGTAAGTTTTCAATCCTAATGGACTTCTTTTTCTTTTCATTTGTCACCCGAGCGAAGTCTTTGCAGTTTTCGATTCAGAATGATCTTGTTTTTATTTGAAGGGGCCATATTCCCAATATGGCCTCACGTATAAATCAAAATTTGGATCTGTTGTTTTTGTAAACTTGGTAAAGTATTAATCAGTAATACCAGTTCACCTAATTTCTTTTTTAAAAACTAAAATCTTTAGGCTTAACTAACTGCAATAGAAGTTGCCTGAATTAGATGAATACTTTTGATATTTTAATTTTGATTACAGGCTATTTATATTCATATTAGTCTTTTAAGATTTAAAAATTATTAATTCTTATCATCAAACTTATTTCACATTCACTACACTTAATTGCTGCTTTGTTATTAAGAACTGCATCGTATTTGAAGTAATTAATGTAAACAATACAGAAAATAATTACTTTATCTTTTAATATTGCAAACTTCAAGGAAACCTCATGCGAAGAAAGCATGTTTGTAAGTATTTTTATATTACTAAAACGCGAATGAATATGCACTATGTCAATAATATCTAGTTACTTAAGTATGACTGTATTGACTTTTGCTGCATTGATCTAGCGAACGTTATTACAAAAGATATCTATAATTCCTGCAGAGTTGCATCGGTAATTAAAAATAATATAATGTGTGTCATCGACTGCGAACAGAAAGATAACTTACTATTTATTGATTGCATTATTATTATTATTTTCTTAATTATTACATTCCACGTCATAATAATCTTGCTATGGCGTGGCCAACTATAATAGATTGTGGGCTTTTTTCTATCAGCATGCGTTTTTCTTTTATTTGTTTTCACGCTTTTATTTGAAAGTTTAGTATTTATTATTACACGCTTGTTATCTTTTTGATACGTGATAATAAATACTTTATAAATAATATTTATTTATGCCGGCACCATACCAAATATTAGTATGTGCATAGTGTGTGTAAAGCACCGAGCACTATAGCAAACCCTTTTTTTTTTGTTAACGCAGGGAAAATGCACCTTTAGCCTTAAACCAGGGCTCCTCTTCCACCTGCTCGCGAAAAGGAAGTACCCGGTATCCTATAAGGAGGGCCCGGTTTCATCCGGACGATAGTTAACGCAAAAACTAAGAATATAAAAATAAAATATAGCGCACACTTTCTAAACGAATTTATAGCCACTATACATCTACTTTGCCTCATTTTATATGGCTAATATAATATTGCCGATACTTACTTTAACATTACATTATTGTTTTGGCAGGACCAACATTGGATCAGAGTTGCTCGTACAAAAAGGGTTGCGTAATAAAAAGAACGAGAACGCGCCTAGAATGGACAACTCTTCACCGAGTGAGTACAATACGTAGCTTTATTTATGATTTAAATTAACAATTATTGTAAAATTATAATATTTAGCAACTTTCACACTCTGTTCGTGCTAGATTTGGTGTAAGATTTGTGCACCGCTCGTCCACCAGCAAATAGATCCACAATCGCCTACAAAAGTAGTAGCTAACACAAACTAATACTCTGCAGTGTACCTCCTCGTCCTAAAAAGAGTACCGTACAGTGCCAACCATAGGCGTTAGCATTTTAACATAACAGTAATATAAAGTGTCATTTTTTGAGTACTATTTTCAGCTGTATCTAAATAGGGTAAGCTTCTAATCTAGGTTACACTAGGTTTATGGTTAGTTATTAAATAATGTAGGCAGTTGTGACCCAAATATGTAGAGAAGAATAAGTATGATGGAAGATGAAGAGACACGACTCAACGGCATCTGGAAACGTCTCGGAATAAGCTACAAAACAAAAGCCCGACTAGTACGAGCTCTGGCGTTCCTGATATTCTTATACAGTGTGGAGACACGGACAATTTGAGCGAGAGAGAGGCAAAGAATAGAAGCATTCGAAATGTGGTTCTGGAGGTGAATGCTAAAAATACCATTAACGGCTAAACGCACAAATCTGTCTAATCATTCACATCTGCGTGTCCAAACTTGATTATACACTGTGCTTACTGCCTACAACGTGAAGGGTTCGATGCTTAGGCAAATGAATGAAAGGCTGACTAAGCTTGAGAACTTGATTTATTTACGGTAATAAAAGAAAAAAGAAAAGCCATTTCTAGGTTTCCTTTTAAATATATAAATTATTTAATACATTGAAACTTTTTAAGTTATTCACTTAACACATTTTTAATTTTAACGGATTATATAAATATTTTTAAATAAAATCTTATGTTATGTATGGATGGGTAAAATAATATTTATGTACTGACATTCATAAAGAGCATATTGGGTTACTCAAAATTTCAAATTACGAAAGGTGAATAATAAAAAGAAAAGATGTTGAAAATCAAAGACAAAAAGTTATCTGCATATACCTAGGACGAAATAAACGGTCAGTGGTACGACGCACCATTACAATACTTTTCTGTTTCGGCCAAATAATACGAAGAGGAGATGCTAATCTATAAAAATTGGCAACTGTTGGCAATACCAATACCAAAAGGACACGTCAACTCGTTGATCCGTCCAAGTGCAAGAAGTCGCGTCCTCCAAATTCCACCAAGCAGTAAAAGTAAATATGAATTGAAACAAATGGAATAAAACTACTATCCTGCGAATCTCACGACCACGATCTTTATTAATGAAGAATCGACTAAAGAGAGAGGGCGAAAGAGAGAGAGAGAATATTTTTTTTAGTAGAATTTGACCTCATTTGGTCTTTTTAGTACTATATGTCTACTCAACTAATAAAGTCTACTCAAGGTTATCCACAGGGTATTTCCGAGGATAGTTTTTGGGATTACCGTTCTTAAAAACAGAACAGCCCCAGATTTGATATAAATATTTTACAGTACGTAACATTTATGTAGTAGTAGGTATCCTACTAATCACAACACTCAATTTGGCTAGCGGATTCTGCCCTTGAAACTTGTAACGCGGTTGTAACAAAGCTAGGAAATTATGTTATTCAATAGTTAATGACCAAAATCACATCAAGGTCGTTTCAAGTCCATGACGAGGTTGCAGAGTGCCGCAGGTATGAGTTCAGTCATCGGCAAACAACTCATACACACACATTCACGACATATCAGAGAATTGACGAAATTAGTTATTTACTTTCTTCAGTATTATATTCCCTTACCAATAATATGTGATAAGAATAACATTAAGACGTATATTCAATCATTTATCAATTTATCACTTATCAAAAATTATATTTAGTGATCGATGGTTTAGACTTAGATTTTTAATTATGTCTAAATGATGCATTTGAACGCCCACTTTACCACCCACTCTGTAATTTTTGATATCATTGTTACAAATAAATTTATACGAAGCATTCAAGTTTCTATATATCTACTATAATACATATTCCCTTTTAAACAGATATCCTTTGCCATTGATTTGTTTAAGCGCCATTGTATTCACTACACCTAGAAGATAAATACAGTAGCAAAATACAAATAATTATAAAAACATTGAGATTTCATTATATTTGTGGCTCATGTCTAGATCAAAATTAGCCGACACCAAATTTCTATGTAAAACATACAAGTTTAACTTATAACACTGTGTTGTGGATGTTTGCCACGTGTTAGCGAACCATGTTATGTGTGACGTCGGAACGTTATTTTAAGCTAAGTCCACACTGATGTTCTTTGCAATTTAGTGTTTCTTTTCTCTATTTTTCGTCTCCACGAAAGCAATAGTGCGTGTCGTATATCGATACCTCAATAGAAAGGTCTTATACACTATTAGGGCATAAATAAAATAGACGCACAAAACTTAACAAAGAAAAGATTATGTAAAATATGGTGGATGCCGATAGCTGTGTGGATTTACCTCTGACTGTGCCGCAGAGAGACCATAGCTCCGTTGCTAGAGTAGTGTTGGCTGCCGCTTTGCTTTTAAGGAAATTCGCCGGTAAATCCTGTCGGGGTGGGTGAAAACACTATTAAGATAATAGTCATAAACTGCAACATTAGGGCGAATTAATTTATCGATTTTCCTTCTTGTTTAAAGTCATTTAAAAACCCTCCACCCCCCTCCGCCTTTTTTTTATGGTGTGTTCCCAATTAATGTAAATTCAGCAATCAATTTCTCGTATGTTTTATTTTGGGTAAGACGAAAGGACTACCGACGCTTTTCATACTGGTAAGGCTATTGTAGACGTAGCTTAGGTACAACAGTTGAATGTTCGTCGGGACCGTAGTCCACGGCAAATATTGTAGAGATTTCTGCTGGGCACAATAGTAGCTGTTGTCTGTATTTAACATACTAAACTTCAAACACTCTCTCGACAATACAAATAAACCAGGAAATACCAAATTCGACGTTAGCACATGTTACCGGATTGAGGTACGTAACGAATGAGTATATATTATTTATAATAATGATTTTTATTTTAGCTGTTAGCGCTACAAGCGCTAGACACAACACAATTTGTGATATTGTGATAAGTAATCAGCATGATAATTGATAAAATAATACTGAGAAATCTGAGCGGCATGATTTTATTGATCGATTCAGATCAGATTAACATATGAAACCACGTTTGAGATTTTCAAATCTTAACCTTACCCTTTGTTTAAATCGTGTATTGGAACAAATTGTACTGTACTGTGTATTGTACTGTTTGTACAAATAATTACAGCCGAATGGTAGTAATAAATTAACATGTTATAGTAAGTTATAACATGTTAATTTATTACTACCATTCGGTCACGGTTCACGCTTCATCATTACACTTTGTGTCGATAATGTTTTGCGTATATGTATAATATATTTGGAGTATCATTTTATTTTTAAGCGCAAATCGCTTTATCAGTCTCGCGAATCGTTTATGTCATTGTCAGTTGGCTAGTGATAATATTTTACGAATCAGTTTGAATATGTATCTGTGTGAGTAGTGCTGTACTGCTGTGATATTATTGGTTTTGTACTTTCAACAGTGGCCCGTTAATGGATAGTTGTCTAAGCAAGTATAGTAGGTATACTTTTTATTTTATAATAATGATACCTTCAAAAATAGTTAGCGTTTGCTGACGATTGAGGATTTTTTTACCTATAATGCACGTTTATTTGTGAGCAGTTTTGTGATGTCGTTCAATATCGTATAGGTGGTAATTAAGATGAACCTCCGTATGGCAACGTCCGCGTTGTAATTATGATATTGTTTTTTGGTTAATGATGAGTTGGATATTAGCGCGTGACTCCGGCACTTTGCCTGCTGTGATAAGGTAGATTATGTCAATGTTTGTAATATGTTAAAAGAAACATGTGTTTCTTTTGGTAGATAAGGTACGTATATTTTTTTAAAAGCGATGCGCTCTTATTTCTGAAAATCAATGATAGAAGACTCATGATAATAAATAAATTAATTGGAAATATTAATTCGTTAGTATGTAGTTCCAAATTGCCGCGATAATAGCAAATTTTTTTTCTGATGTATAAAATGGATTAGATTTTAATAATAAGCAATATAAATATTATTCTACGTTAACTCGCCATTGAATATCCAGAAAACTCATTGATTGTTGGAACGGATAAAAATAGATTCACGGAGTTCACTTTATTTGACGACAAAGTATCATGTTAATTTACATGGATTTAACTTTACATCATAGGTCAATTACGTACCGTAAATGAACGTTAAATGCTTAGATTAAAATATGTAATGTAGGGTTTTTTTTGCGATCTTCGATCTACAAATGGGCGAGATCTCGTGTATTTAACGAGACTGCACTCGAGCACAGAAAAGACTCATTCTAAGTGCGGCAGCGCGAAGGTCTGCACTTCGACAGTGCTTTTGTTTCCGAAAGGTCCTTCTCAGCGGCTGGTGGCGGAAGTAGACGATTCTTAGGAAGTTTTGTGCTTCTTAAGAAGCTACTTTCAAAATTATTCGCAATAAAGGCGTGTGAGGTGAACTAAACAAACTTTCAAATTTATAGTGTATTTTGTTAATTTATCCTGTAATTTATAATAGATCTGTGAGTAGGTACACATCGTTTTCTTTAATTGATAATACTTATTCTCTCAGTCTAATAATTAATTCAACTTACATAGCTAATGAGTTTTATTTTAATTTTTGGTTTCTTGTTGTTTTGTCATACGTAAGAGAACTGTTTTATAAAGGACTTTTGTTTGATATTATCAGAGAAGGTTTATTTCATTTGATATTTGATTACATACGTGAAAGTTTACTACTTAAGAGTTTAGTACCTGGGTGACCGAGCTTTACTCGTTACTTTTGGGTAGGTATATGAAACCTAACTAAATAATTTTATCGCTTCTGCATTATAAATTTCATGAAATTTGTTGTTTCATAAATCCGTTTCCAAGATTCAGATTATAATACAAGAATTGCTAATGGCATTAGATAAAAAAATATATATTGCGTCAAACAATGTTAAATTCATAAAATTTTATTGAAAATACTCGAAGCTATAATATTTTTTTCTAGTTCGTTCAATTATAGTGATTATTTGCAAAGATAAACATACAAAAGTGCCAATCTTACGAGATCTCGCGGTATTGATATTCATAAACTCGCGAGATCTCGCCCGAGCCCCAATCTCGCGAGATTGCATTCCCTAGTACTAAGAAGAACTTATACTCAAAAGATTTTCAAATAAAGTGTTTTGTAATTTGGATATTTTTAGAAGCTTGCAATGTCAGAAGTGATTAAATAAATATTATATAACATAGCATTGTTCGGATCCTAAATTGTGTAGCAATGACACTTTTATTTACCCTGACCGGAGTCAATATCAGAATATTCATTTTCTATATTAAACCGGGAATCGAACCCGATACTTCAGAGATAACATTTGAAACTCAGCCGCAGAGGTTAAACTAAGAAATAATATCCTTTTCATAAAGTGAGTAAAGTGGCTAGCTATTTTCTGGCGATGGCCTTATAAATAAATTATAGCATCTGCCACCCGCGTATAATGTAGCTTTCTGTAGGTCAAAGAAGTTTTTAAATTAGTCTAGTTTAAGAGCCTATTTGATGCAAATAAAGAATGAAATCTTTCAAAAAAATATTTAAAAAAATCAAACCACTCATTTGTTTTTAGTCTCCGATCGTCTCAAAAAACGAGCCAGCGTGAAGTTGTATAGAACACGGGAGAGAGACTTCAAGCAGGACATGAACGACACGGAGCAGAGGCCAGAGTCGATGCCCTGGCCCTTCCCAGCGGATGGACGGATGCCCGCCGTGCCCACCCTGGTAAGTAATTAAACTCTACACCTCGGACAAAAAGTGACTCAAAACATAGGGATAAGGAACACAGATACAAGTTGAAATGCCAGTCTTCCCTTGTAATAAAAAATTGTTTATTTCCACCGCTCGATTTTTCAATACATTAGTTAAATTCAGCTAAGAAATAGTGTAAGTCGACACGCTTACCGCACCTACGAGGCCATTCCAACGTCTTTCTGTGTTAGCTCCTGATTATCATACCCTAGATTTTATGCAGAACTCGAGCCCAACCGCATGTATAATGTACGCATTTTAATGTTAGTAGAATCTCCGCACATTGCTAAAGAACCTGGCCGCCATTTTGATGACGTGATTGCGTTCAAAAATCAGTACCGTTAACAAATAAATGCTGGTTGACGAGTACACTTATTGAGTTGGGTTGTGTTGAGATCACACATCATTTTTGTTATGTTAGTATCGGTTTGGATTGTTAATGTTACGTTTTGTTGCTATTATTATTACACTAATAATAAATATAGAAATAATGTCCCTCATTATTATTATTACTTTTGGTTATGTGTTCAAAAAATGTCCGTTCCGTAAATGTTAGCCAAAGTAAATGTGTTTTGTTATTATTTTTTTCTTTTCCTCAATATTTACATATAGATTGATTCTTTTCTAAAAATTCATGCAACAAACAAACAAACGTAATTAAACTATTATCACTATATTTTGGTAATTATTCATAAATATTTCAATAATTAATAAATAATATTATCTTTTGCCTTTCGCGCTATCTATACTTTCTGTTTTCATATGACGTCACGCACGGTGTTATTTAGACGAGGATCCGGCGCATTAGCAATTTACGGGACTTCTATCAATTTATTTCTTTAACCGACTGTTCCCAGTACGACAAATACCTACAGTGTTATTACAAAAAAGATAAACACGCGTTGAACACGTGTTTAAAAAAAATTCTATTACAAAATCGTATTTAGGCACTGTTTAAGGCTAAACATCCCTTAAACATTGTTTAAAATATAAACACTCGTTGAGAGTTGTTTAACGCGTGTCTAACCTCAAAATAAGTTGCGTTTTGTTGAAAATTCATCCATATTTTTAAGATAAAGATTATATTGATATGGTCGATTTAGATTACATGGAAAGCTTTTAGGACGCGTAAGTAAAGCGAACGCGAATTAATCCATTTGAGCAATACAATGAACTTTGATATAAAAGAAAGTACATATTTAGTGGATTGTTTGCTGACAAAATATATGAAATTATTTAAGGCGATATTCCACATAATCCTCGAGATGAAAGTATAGATCTGCAAATAAATACACGTAGCATGTGCATGTGTGCATAGCTTCTGTGTCAGTACACGGCTTGTGAACATGTGCGGCGTTGGGTTCGGCATCAGGTAGTCGTTGTTCCGTTTCTTCATATTATTTCGCTATAGTTTTACTTAACCTTACTCTAATATGAATAGAAGTGCCAGTTTAAAAACGTTAATTTTGTACTTTCTTTTTTACTTTTGAAAGTTATTAGCTAATACGTTATTGAACATATCTTTTTACGATTAGAATTTATCATAAGTCTGTATAAGATGTGCATATAATGGAACGTGTATGAACGAATGAAAGCCAACTGAACGAATGCTTTACGGGTTGCATGTTTAAATCGGCGTTAGTTAGACTACGACTAAAAATGGATTTGTAATAGACAAAGTTAACATCATTTTAAACAGGGTTTATATTCTTAGACATTGTTTACTTAAACACATGGTAAAACCCTGTCTAACATCTCTTTTGTAATAACACTGTTACTGCTTTATTTATTTAATTTATTAACTTGAGACAACAACAGCATTTTCAACATAAAAGAAATATGACCGGCCAAAAATTGCCCACAATACAAATAAACAGTAAGCTTAAGACATAACAAAACTTATATAAGTTAAGCAAACAACTCATCGTTAGTATAAAGTTATAAATCTGTATAGATGTATCATCATCATTATCATAAGCCCTTTTTACGTCAGAAGCTCAGACCTTATGGATTGTTAAGTAGGATGGGCCATTACCAACCACGGTTTGGTCTGGTCCAATGCGGATTAACATGCCTTCCGAAGGACGGAGTAGCTCGAAAAGTTGCTTAACAACAACGATCGCGGGCCGCGGGGCTTATCCTTTACGCCAACGAGCTGCTATGTAGTAGATGTATAAGTATAATATATGCCCAGATACAGTTTGAATCAATGACATTGAATTATATTATATTATTGAATTGTATTATATTATTTTATTTATTTCTCACTGAACTAAGAAGCAGAAGTTACTTTGGACTTTACTTTTTCCAAGAAATTAACTCTACCTACCTACTCTATAAAAGGATCGATATCTTAAAATTACTCATTATAACTGTTTACAATTCGTGACATCACTGAATTATTGCCATAATAAGCTATTGTAAACACGGTAGTTATTTAAAATGGAATTGATTCGTATTGAAGGCCGTGGTGCAAAACTAAATATACTAAAATTATTTACCTTTTATGACTTTTAGTGTTGCGCGCGTTATGCTTTAAATGGTGAAGAAAATACGTAAAACAATAATAGGATAATATTTAATTATAATCATGCGCTTTTTAAACTCACGATTAAAATATTGATTTATTATATACTACAATGTTCAATTAGTGAAAAATTTGTTTAAAAACCAATTCTCATTAAGAATATTTTCCAGTATGCATTGTGAATGCAAAACTGATCAAATATAATAATATACACCATTTGTTGTTGAACTCACTTATCCTACAAAATATCTGTCTTGAAGATAGTATATATATCAAACTTCATAGGCAAAAATTAAGTTGTCCTAAGTAAGTGGTTATCCTAAAATGCATCTTTTCTATCATCTTAAGTCTGATTTCCATTATAAACTCAGTTCAATGTGCACTCTGGCGTTAGAATTGTTTTTCTCAGTGTTGTCCTATAGAGTTCTCTTAACATTTTATTTAGGTGGAGTCATGCAATCGCTTCATGTGCCTAACCTCCCGTCTGAAGTCCCGCGATAACAAGGAGCCGGAGAAGCCTCCGGATGCCGTCGAAGATTTGCGCTCCTACCCCGAGGAGGAGTTGCCCGAGAGCCGCGTCAACTTCCACAAGACATTCAGCATGCTGATAAACATGGGAAACAACGTCGAGAAAGGGTGCAGGAGAACTGTGAGTGTTGTCAGTATCTTTTTTTTCTCAGATATTTGCTGGTGGCGTCCTCTTCACTTCTCATTCTATTCGTGCTGGTGCAGTCTATTCTTCTATTTTTCTCCATCAAACTTCTTAGTCTTTCTCGGGACTTTTTTCTTCTAAAGTTATCAATATGCATTTTTCTTTTATGTATGTTCGAGAGTATTTGCTTTCAGTTTCTCTAATATGCTATCAAACATATTGTGTGATTGATATATTTGGCAAATGCTTAATATTCTTTTATAATGTATTTACTGGGCTCTAATCAGATAAAACTCCAAGAAACTAGAGTTATAATTGCATGATTTCAAATTACATTCCTTATAACAATTTCCAGTTCATAGATTAGTATTGTACTGTTGGTCTTAGCTCTTGAATGAATCAATTACACATTTAATTATATTTACAAGCATTCTGATATACTTTATATGTCTTAGATAAGCCGCGAGGAGCAAGTGTGGCAGAACGAACTCAAAGACTTAATATGGTTAGAACTGCAGGCGAAAGTAGCGGGCCGTACGCTCGCACAACAGGACGCTTACCTCTGTTCACAACGTAATGCCGTGCCCACCATACTACAGAACATCATGGAATATAAGTAAGTGATATTCGCTTAAAGATACGATAACAAGTAATATTAACATAAGAACTGATAATTAGGTTGAATGAATGAATGAAATACTCTTTATTGTACACACCATAAGTGAATGAACAAATATATAGTAATCTAACAAAATAGTACAATTGGCGGCCTAATTGCTAAAAAGCAATTTCTTCCAGGCAACCTTAACATAGCATACAGGATACAGTTGGAAAAATTGGTTGACTGCTTTAAAGAATATTCGGTAAACTATGGATTTGTTTAATTTTGAATTGTTATATGCCTTTATTTGTCTAAGTTGGAATAAATTTTGTCATAGAAAAAAATTTGAACAATAACCAATTACAATATTGACGTCGAGCCGCCTACTGACAAATCTGGAATCCTGAGACGGTACCAATCGAGTACAGGATGTTCAATGAAAAATAAACTATTATATATTGTTTTGTTTCTGGGTGGTACCTACGTTATTTCAGTTTATCATAACAAAAGAGGTTTCCTACTTAGTTTGGAATCTGAAGAATATGTGTTATATACAAATAAACATTAAATTTTAAGTATGCTCCACTTACATTTGTCAATGGGGTCCGCAATTGTGAGTACTGCGGCTCTCGACTCTCACCCCGCATGCGACTCCTATTGACCGATGTAAATGTGCCATTATACGTGCAGATTCGTGAACTCTAACCGTTGCACGTCGCACCTGTGCGCTGTGGAGGGGTCGCGGGAGGACCTCGCCGACGACGGCGTCGACTGTACACACTGTCATGACGACGACGGTCAGTTGCATTTCGTTTCACTAGATAGTATAAAACGAAGTCGCTCTCTGTCCCTATGTATGCTTAATCTTTAAAACTACGCAACGGATTTTGATGCGGTTTTTTTTTTTCATAGATAGGGTGATTCAAAAAGGTTTTTTATGTATAATACAAGACCACGCGGGCGAAGCCGCTAGAGGAAAGTTAATTAATATATAATTAGAACAGAATACGACCTCTTATTTACATGATTAGAGTAATTATTAATTCTTATTATTTACCTATTTGGTCTCAACTATCTTTACCTACTAATATGTAGATTTAAACATTTTTAGACGTTTCGGATTTCTAATATATCCAGTCTATTATAAATTATCCAGTCTAATATCTTTTGAATTCTATAAAATTCGAATTGGGTCAGCTTTTGTCACATACACAATACTAAAAGTTTTAGTTTTTAACTACTAGAGTTTATATTATTGTTAGTTTTAGTCTAAAACTAACAACAATATAAACTCTAGTAGTTGTCAATATTGGTATTGCGGGAATATGGTTGTTTTAAAAATATACTCAACTTTTTTGGACTAAAATCTTTGTTCTATGTCCTTTTTTATACAGAAGCTAATCAACCGGGATGTCTATCGTTCAACTGTTCCCACTGCACAGACGCCATCGGGAAGGCGATGAGGGAGATCAGTTCGCTCCTGGATTCCTTCTACAGCGCTTTGGAATTGTACCCGTCCAGCAAAGCTATGACAGTCGAGCATCCGTTAATAGCCACTAGCGTGTTCAAAAATAGACTCAAGGTCAGTTATATTAAGATTGATATTATATTGGCTCATGCGATGGTTTTTTATTAATTTGTTACTTACTGAATCATATTTTAATGACAGGATTTTATGAAATGTAGAACACAGATAGTAGCTGCAGACCTGTCTCTATCTATGGACAATAAAGACACATATAATATATATATATATATATATATATATATATAGATTCCCCGTACCTTCTTTCTAAATTTCAATTGCGAGTTCCCAATAAGTCAATAAGACTTCAACCGACATTTACCATTGCACGCAGTGGTACAAATTATAGACAAAACTCATATTTTATTAGGTCGGCAAAAGCTTTCAATCGGCTGGCTGGCTTTTCAGATGTGGACATTTTCTGTTCAAATTCAGCTGCGTTCAAAAAGGCCGTATTAGATTTTTGGCTAGAGTCGGTTCCCTCACAATAAAAAGAAAAATTTAGTTATTTACGAAGTTAATAATTGTATTATGTGTTATTATTTTTTTTTGTTCTTTTTGTATAGATTTCTTCACATTACTAAAGCGTTATAAAACAATAATTTTATAAGTGAAAGCATGTAATTGGTGAACAGTTATCGTTACAGTATTATGTACTAGATTTAATATCACTGTTTGTTTTCCTAATAAAATAAAATATATATATTTTTAAATAAAATATATATATTTTTAAATATATATATATATTTTTAAATATTTAATGCTTCAAATGAAAGTAATTTTAGGTGATTAATATACCTTTTGATATGATATTTCTCACAGGACATGTTTAATGTCATATATTTTTTGTTACTATTAAGCATATAATTAACAATATGTAATCTTTCTCAGTAATTTAAACCCCTTTTTATTATACTCGTACATGCATATTTAGAATTTGGCTTTATTATCATGTATTGTAGAAAATACAGGTACCTATACTTTTGTGTATTTGTTACCAAAAGTTATTGATTAGTTAAATTAAAAGGTATACACAAGATGTAGAATAAAACATTGCGCTGGTTGCTAATATGATGTTTATGTTTTTGTAAATTGAAAATACAGATACAGAATGTGACGGTGACTATTTTAATATAATAATGCGTGCTAACGTTGCGCACGCTGCTGGCTTAGGTCTTGGTAGATGTCTTGAGAAACGTTCGCGTGTGCTAGTGCTGGGACACACTTGTAGGCGTCAAGACAATAATTAAAGAAAGTAGGAAAACACAGCATTACATTTAAAAGCGTAAACATATAACTAATATTGGTAAACAAATAATTAAAATTATTCTACTAGCAGAATGTATAAAACTATAATATATTGATACAAACAAACAAATTTCTAATACACACATAATTATCATAACAACCCGTAACAGTCCACTGCAGGATTAAGGGCGCTTGCCATGGCATCAAAGAATTTCTTTATGTCAATGCAAAGAACACAACTAGAGATATGATAAAAAAAAAAAAAAGTGCAACAGCTGTTCGTTTACTATTTTTTATTAAAGTTAAAAATATTAATAGAAATAACATAGTCAGTCCTTTAAATGGGCACTAAATGTAATGGGTGCGATGCAATCATTTACGATATATTGTACATGGAGTGTTCGCAAGAAAAATGTAAAAAAATATATCATCTGAAATGCCTCGCCTTAACGGTTGAGAAGTTAGAAAGTTTCACGCAAGACACTAAAAGTAACTGGGTTTGTCCAGAGTGTCAGCGCACTGTTCCTAAGCGAGACAATTCCAATACACCAGTTCGAAGCATTACGATGAATCAAACTTTTACACCAAGCACGTATGTAAACACTGGACGTGGAGGAGGTATAAACCGGTACGATGAACATTGCACTGATAATGAAAGCATTTTCTTGGAGGAATTCCGCGAGTTAAGCCAGCAAATGCTGTCTAGATTCGACGAGCAACAAAATGCGTATTCATTATTACAAACTAAGTTTGATGAAACAACAACAGAGTTAAGGGAATTACGAAAAATTATGGAGGTAGTACAAGAAAAGGCCAATAAAGTGGATGTATTGGAATCACAAATAAAGTCACTCAAGGATACTAATTATCAACTAGAAACTTGTATCAAAGCTATTAATGTTAGGAGATTTGAAGATAAGACCCAATCACAACAACCAACAATATCTTTTGTAAGTGCAGTGAAAAAAAATCTTCAACCTACTGTAGAGGAATGTGTGGCCACGAAATGTGCGAATATCGAAGTTAATGATAAACATACGGTAAAAAATACTACTAGCGAAATCCTTAGCAATAATAATAATTTACAGAAAAGTCCGGAACTAACAGACAATACGATGTCATGGACAAAAGTAATAAATAAAAAGAAATATAAATATAACAGGGAAGTAAAAAAAGGAGGGAGTTTGGGTATGGCTGAAATACAGGGGACGGAAAAAAATAAATATCTTCATGTATGGAGATTGCAAAAAGAGACCACTGCTGAAAAGTTAGAAAATTATGTTAAAAATATTTATAAAACGGAAAATGTTCAAGTGAAAATTGAAAAAATTAAACATAAAACAGAAAGAGATTATGCTTCTTTTATTATAGGTGTTCCTCAAAGTAAATACGATCAACTCTGCCTTCCTGAAAATTGCCCTTTGAATATTGAATTTTGTGAGTGGGTGTGGTTTCGTAGAAGCACCGAAACCGCGGAAAAAAGCTAGTAAAATTATTGAAGTGTTTTATCAAAACGTAAGAGGACTTCGTACACAATTGGATAAATTTTATGAGGGGATATCTACAACGGAAGCGGATCTATTCGCCATAACGGAAACAGGCTGTAATGATTCTATAAGAGATGCAGAACTAATCCCACCAGGCTACACTATAATTAGATGTGATCGAGCGGATGGGCGAAAACAAGGCGGCGCGTGTTTAGTGGCCGCACCGCGCTTCGAGTTGCGACGAGTGGCGATCCCCGGTAATATAAACTTAGATGTTCATTTATTTGAACTAGTCAGCTAACTAGTTATGCTGTGTAGTCTATATACCACCAAAGAGTTGTGAAAATGAATACATGCTAATGTTTCGAATTATAGAACAATACTGTGATAGCTATAGTTCTGTGTTAGTAGTAGGAGATTTTAATTTGTATTCCAGCTCAGTTACTGTTTCAAATTATTATGAATATTTTAAGACATATTGTAATTTCACTCAGAGTAATGATATAGTAAATTGTAATAATCATATTTTAGATCTAGTGTTGAGTAAAATGGGAAATAATAGTAGTGCCAGAGTGTGTGCGGTGTCTCCATTACTCCCCCCCGACCCTCAACACCCTTCACTAGCCGTAAGCGTCTTATTAGGTTTAGAATCGCCTGGGTTGGACTGGCATACGGGACATAACAGGGGCGCTTATTGTGATGAAGAACAGGTGAACTTACGAGACAATACAGCATTTCACTGGAACTTTAAAAAAGCAAATTTTCCACTGCTATATATGTCGTTGGCTAATATAGATTGGACTCCAATGCTAAATTTGAATGTCGAGGAAAGTTTAACCTTTTTTTATGATAAAGTTTATTCTGTACTAGACAATTGTGTACCCAGAAAAAATACAAGTAATATGAAATTAAATTGCAGCTATCCCGACTGGTATACAGTTGAAATAATAAACGACTTAAAATTTAAAGCACGTTTACATAAGAAGTATAAGACGAGCGGCTCGCCAAATGACTATAGTAAGTTTTCAGAGTGTAGGGCTAGACTTAAAAGGAACATGAGAGTTGCTTATGACCGGTATAGAGAGCGTGTCCAAGATAATTTATTAAAGGAACCCAAAACATTTTGGAATTATATTAAATCGAAAAGGTGCAGTAGGGGTCCTCGAAATATTTTGAACGATGGTGAAGCATTAACTCGAGAACAATGTGCTGTAAGGTTTGCGGAGTACTTTCACTCAATTTATACAGTGGAATCCCCGTCATTAGATGTAAACATGAGTATAATTAGGGCTGGTGACATAAATACGGGTGCGAGAGTACACATAGACTGTTTAAAGCTGCGAGACGTACAGAAAGCGCTTCAACGACTAAAGCCTAAAACTTCAGCCGGTCCGGATGGCCTTCCACCTTTTTTGTTTAAAGATTGTCGAGAAATATTGGCGGAACCACTGTTACATTTATTTAATAGGTGCCTGCATAACGAAACGTTTCCGGCAAAATGGAAGATAACGCGAGTGGTGCCGGTACCCAAGGGCGGATCATCAACGTCTTCTAGTGTCGAGGGCTACAGGCCGGTAGCGGTATTATCAACGCCCGCAAAGGTATTCGAATCGACCATTCACGCAAGCTTATACTCGCAAATAAGTGCACAACTGACTGATGTCCAGCACGGGTTCCGCACAGCAAGGAGCACCGCTAGTAATCTTATTACTTATATGGCTGATCTCATACCAACAGTGGATAGAGGATTGCAAGTTGACGTCGCATACTTTGATTTTAAAAAAGCTTTTGACTTAGTTCATAACGACGTGTTACTTCTAAAGTTAGCGAGTGTCGGCTTCACACCACACCTGTTAAATTTTTTTGCGAGCTATATGAGAGACAGGCAGCAATATGTGGATTATACGGGATATCGGTCAGATCCTTATTACACAAGATCCGGAGTAAGTCAGGGCAGCAATCTCGGACCGTTGGAGTTCGTATTGATGATAAATGACCTTCCGACTGTTGTTAAATATGCGAAATGCTTATTGTTTGCAGACGACCTAAAGGTATATCTTCCTATTAATGATCTAGAAGACTGTAAGAAACTACAAACAGATATAGACAGTATAGTAGCTTGGAGCTTGAAAAACAAATTACAATTCAATACCTCGAAATGCGTCGCGATGACTTTTTCGAGAGCTCGTAATCCCATGCTGCATACTTATAAGGTCAACGGGGAAGATATGACAAGAGTGACCGAGGTTAAAGATTTAGGGGTCCATTTTACATCGGGACTCTACTTTAAAGATCATATTAATAGCATATGTAGGAAGGCTTATCGTAACTTGGGTTTGGTGTTGCGTTTCGCACGAGGTTTTACAAATATGAAAGCAGTCATTTCGTTATATAACGCCTTGGTTAGGAGTCAGCTTGAGCACAACGCAATAGTATGGGCGCCTTATGAAAAGAAATATACTCTCATGTTGGAACGAGTCCAAAATAAATTTGCTAGGTATCTATACATGAAGCTATATGGCGTATATCCGTTTTATCCATTAAACTACCCTACTTTGTTTGTGTTAGGAATGACAGGATATAACGAACTCACGGTTAGGAGGAATGTCGCATTAGTATCATATATATTTAAAATACTCAGAGGGAAGATACATAACGCGGATATACTTGGTTGGATATGTCTCAGGGTACCAGACCGGTATATATGGCGCAGGAGGCAGGTGCCACTTCTGATGGTTCCATCTGCGCGCACAAACTTGTTAAAGGAGGCACCGTTCACACGCGCTATATCTATCATTAATATGATAGCTAATGAAATTGACATATTTGATTGTGCTCTGAGTGAGTTTACAAAAACTGCAATATTTTTTTGTACATATAAACTTAATTAAGAACAACATATATTAATTAAAGCTTATTTTATATATAAAAAAAGTAAGGTCTAAGAAAAATTGTTAAGGTTTACTAGATCGCATTGGCTATAAGCTGTAATGATCGATGTAAATGTTGTTGATAATAAATAAATAAATAAATGATATTCTAAATAAATATTGATTTTAAGTGATCTATTCTAATTCAATTACCTAAATCGATTGACAACTAATTGTAATCAATATTATATTACACTTTTGTAATAATCATATAATTTACCAAATTGGTGAAATAAAAACCTAAAACATCGTTTAAATTGTAACCTGTTGTTTATTTTGCGAATGTATTATAAATTGATGTTATTGCATCGATGTTAACTTTTTGTATTAACGACATCCCTATACATGTACACGAAACTGTACAGTTTCGTCACATCCGCCCTGACAAGTGGCATATCGTTTTTTTGAACCCTTTTTTTGAATCAGACGCCTATTCCCTATTGTACGAGTGTTCTATTTTACTATCGCCACACGGCAAACACATAAATTTAATATATGTTATATATTTATTGTAGGCTATGTGCGTGTGGTACAACATAGCGCTGCACATGCGGCTCAAGATGCTCGCGGTGTGCCGCATGATGCGCTCGCTGCGGCTCAAGAGGCGGCGCAACTCGCGCGTATCACTCGACTCCGGCATTAGTCGGTAATTACACTACATTACCACTATATTACACTACAATACCACTATACTATACTACACTACCACTATATTACACTACACTACACTACAAAACATTACTCTGCACTTCTCCACACTATATTGACTAGGAGTTGTTACAACTTGTAACTATGAGTATCCTAATTTTTCAGAGCGTCTGCTCTTTCATGATTTTCTAATAGTGAATATAAATTAATGATTTATTTATTGCATCAATATTATGGTATTGATTCTAAATATACATGGCTATTAAAAATAATAATAAAAAATACGTTTACAAACTCCATAAGATATTTCGCGATGGTTAATCGAGTTGAATTTTTTCAGACAATCGTCATCTGCCGAAAGCACCAGACAGTGCCAAGTCCGTTTCAACATAAGCGGTAATCCGAGTGATTCAAGCAACAGCGAAACGAGCAATCACTCGGACGGGAGCAAGGAGACATGCGCTAAAGATGAAGAAGATACGAACAGAGAGGACACCGCGAAGCTTAAGCAGTGATGGGGAAACCAAAGATATCGACGAAAAGGCGATAGACGACGAGGTGGATAGCGGCATCTCTCATGGTGATACTACATGTGTTCTTTTTCTATTGATAATTGAATTAGTGCTCTTTATAATAAACGAGAGGTATTTTTTATTAATTTTATTATATTTGGGAAACAGAAAAATATTAATAATATATGCAAACTAAACAATTTAAAACAGCACGTTAATCAGTAAAGTTTCCACTAATAGTTTTTACAATAAATCATGGTATCGATATGCAGTTGTGTATTTGGGTTTAGTTTGGATATGTTTAAACACAATTTTCTAAGATAAATTAGCTCGGAGAGTCGAAGATATACAGGTAGTTTATAAACGTTCGTTTACAGACAGTGAGACGATGATCGGATCGTGCCCCCACGCGTCCGCGCCCGCGGCGTTGGAGGGCGGTGCCTGCAGCGAGAGCGGCTACAGCAGCGGGGCGGAGGGCGCCGCCACCGGGCCCCTGTGCTCGCTGCCCGCGCTCGCCGACCTCACGCGGCTGCGCCTGCTCGGCGCCTGCTCCGTGTCCCCGTACAGGTACACTGCACGCCCTGTACACGCCAGGTTACAGCGGCACAGCAGCGGGGCGGAGGGCGCCGCCACCGGGCCCCTGTGCTCGCTGCCCGCGCTCGCCGACCTCACGCGGCTGCGCCTGCTCGGCGCCTGCTCCGTGTCCCCGTACAGGTACACTGCACGCCCTGTACACGCCAGGTTACAGCGGCACAGCAGCGGGGCGGAGGGCGCCGCCACCGGGCCCCTGTGCTCGCTGCCCGCGCTCGCCGACCTCACGCGGCTGCGCCTGCTCGGCGCCTGCTCCGTGTCCCCGTACAGGTACACTGCACGCCCTGTACACGCCAGGTTACAGCGGCACAGCAGCGGGGCGGAGGGCGCCGCCACCGGGCCCCTGTGCTCGCTGCCCGCGCTCGCCGACCTCACGCGGCTGCGCCTGCTCGGCGCCTGCTCCGTGTCCCCGTACAGGTACACTGCACGCCCTGTACACGCCAGGTTACAGCGGCACAGCAGCGGGGCGGAGGGCGCCGCCACCGGGCCCCTGTGCTCGCTGCCCGCGCTCGCCGACCTCACGCGGCTGCGCCTGCTCGGCGCCTGCTCCGTGTCCCCGTACAGGTACACTGCACGCCCTGTACACGCCAGGTTACAGCGGCACAGCAGCGGGGCGGAGGGCGCCGCCACCGGGCCCCTGTGCTCGCTGCCCGCGCTCGCCGACCTCACGCGGCTGCGCCTGCTCGGCGCCTGCTCCGTGTCCCCGTACAGGTACACTGCACGCCCTGTACACGCCAGGTTACAGCGGCACAGCAGCGGGGCGGAGGGCGCCGCCACCGGGCCCCTGTGCTCGCTGCCCGCGCTCGCCGACCTCACGCGGCTGCGCCTGCTCGGCGCCTGCTCCGTGTCCCCGTACAGGTACACTGCACGCCCTGTACACGCCAGGTTACAGCGGCACAGCAGCGGGGCGGAGGGCGCCGCCACCGGGCCCCTGTGCTCGCTGCCCGCGCTCGCCGACCTCACGCGGCTGCGCCTGCTCGGCGCCTGCTCCGTGTCCCCGTACAGGTACACTGCACGCCCTGTACACGCCAGGTTACAGCGGCACAGCAGCGGGCCCACTCTGCGTACACATATAATACTTCATCCTCTCCCACTGGGAAAAATACACTTATAGAACGACTCTCATTTCATTACTTAACCGACGTCGGATATAAATATCGTAGACCGAGTTAACATTCATACCGAATCTATGTGCTAGTTTGTCACGAAAAAAAAAATGTTTGGTTCGATTACCGTACGCATTACGAATCGCTCTCGTTTCACGATCGCATAGCTCTTCGAGAGACTAAACCATAAACCTATAGCGCAAACCATCATTTTCAGTCCCTTGATACGACGCATGTAATATTTTTTTTACATGAGTTCCTACACGACTCACATATAAGATAAATTAATTAGTTTAACACTGCTCAGTTTATATTGCACTTCCGCAGACAATATCACAATGAGATGCTGAAAACACAAGGAGTGCGACGCTGCATGATCTTCATTAACAAGTTACGTAAGAACGTCCTGCATAAGGTCCACATTACGTTGGAGAAGCCTGACGTAAGTCGCGACCATAATATGTTACAAATTACAAATGAACAGACTTATAGTTGACTCTATTTTCTTACATATTATATTCATACTACACCATTGTCTATTAAAATTTAAAACTTGTTTTTATTCGAACAGAGTTCATCATCTGAAAGTTTTCAAGAAGAAGACACAACGCAAGTGTTCGATGACACAAAAGATGAGGACAAGACTGAACCGCCTCGAGATGAAGAACTCGAGAAGACCTATGAGTTGAGAAGGTAAACGGCTAATTCTAAATTTGAATTGAAAATTAAGCTTAGCCATCATTTGCCATTTTCGTATGCGAGGCAATTGGGGTAATTTAGATAGTTAAAATAAGTCACATAATTGTTAATAACTAAAATTAACATTAAAATAAACATAAATATTCTGTTTTGATTTATAAAATCGCATAATTAAGATTTTTGTCTGTGATGGTCACATGATTTGAAACACCAGCCACAATGGTGTGACGTTTTTCCGGTAAAATCTGTTACATTAATCGTAAACGGATGCCTATTTAATACAAATTAAATTCTAAACAAAGTTTGTTTTTATAACTTTTTACTTTAATAGCCAGTTCGTTAGTTGATACTGTTTCAGTCTAATTGACGTCTTTTAATGCGTTAAGTAATATTATTTCAGCGTCTGTTTTGTAGGCATATCGGAATGACGTCATGAAAATGGCGGACGGCGTTTACGCGGGTATAAAAAGGGGCGGGTATAATATTAGGGCGAGAAAGCGTGTTTATTCTTCGGAAATATTATTTTATAGTTTATATAAATAAATAAAGACACACTTACAAGTACTTTTTCAAGCAGAACAGAGAACCCTATGATTTTTGTTTTATGTTAAATTTAAAAATGAGAGATGAAATGAGCGTTGTAGTGGTAATATGTTGTTTAGTCTGGTGTGAATATGATCAGATACGGGTGTTGGTCGGCGGAGTGCCTGGCGATGCGGCTGCCGTCGTACCGCAGCCACTTCCTGGTGCTGAGCACCATCTGCATGGAGGCCGTGCACGACTACCTCGCCCTGCAGCTGGACTCGCGCCCCGCCCGCCCCTCCTGTCTCACCGTCACGCAGGTACCATACATTACCCACTGCCCACCACCATACCTTCAGCTGGGGTTGCGCTAGTCACCCTTTTTCGTTTTACAGAGTACATACTTCGTTTGTTTTTGTTCAAGTAATGTGTAAAATACATTCCGTAGGGTTAGCTCGACTCGAGTAGTGAGAACGACGTTTACCAAATCCTTTAATTTCCATTGTGTGTCATCGTAAGACACGGCTTAGATACGTATTTATACATACTTTGAAAAGAAGAGAAATACTTTTGTAGTGCTCGATAATTGTAATAAAAAAAATTACATAAAACTCTTTATTCAATTATACAATATATTTCAAATACCTCTAATATGCTGTGTAACCGTCAAAGCAATAATATCACAAATGCTAACGGTCCTGTAGCTGATCCACGAGCTGAAGGAGGGCCTGGACATATCGACGGAGATCCGTCACGACTTCGTGCGCAACGTGGCCGCCGCGCTGCAGGGGGCGCGCCTCACGCCCGCCGCCAGGAGGGACCTCACGCTGGCGCTGCGGACCTACGACCACACCGTCGAGAGCGTGCTTAAGGTACACTACACTGCACTACACACATATGACCAATTCAAAGGAAAGTCGAGTAAAGAATCAAAAGGGGGCGGCACTCCCGTTCCATCCTGTTGAATTAAATATTAAGTCTTATGAATGTAACAAAATAAACATTCAATATTATATTATCTAGTATTTAAAGCATGGGTGGCCAACCATCGATCTTGGCAATTTAAAAAATATAAATACATGGAACACACTGCACAATGTTATTTAAGAAGCCATTAGTAAATCGTACTGGGTGTCGTCAGTGAAAAGTCGATCTTGGGTCTAAACAAGTTGGCCACCCCTGATTTAAAGTATCAAAACTTGTGTTCTGTGGTCACAACAATGTCTATGGTTCAATGATAAAAAACAAATATATTCATTCTCCCTGCTCAATCGCCCCATTTTCGATCGATTCTTAGCCAAGTTTTAGGCGTTCCTATTTTAAATGTAATACCAAGTGTCGCGTGGTCCCCGCAGCAATACCTGTCGTACCTGAGCACGATGTCGGAGACGCAGCACCTGCCGCGCGCGTGGCTGCAGGCCGAGTGGGCGTTCACCGCGCGCCTCGCCCGCCGCGGCACGTGCGCCGCACAGATCGCGCCGCTCACCTTTGCGTCAGTAACGTTCGGAACCAAACACGTAGTTACCGGCAAAACCGAAATGGATATTTAGAAACTTATTTCAATATAAATCTACTAAGTAACATCTTATTTATTGCCATGGACGTTTAAAGCAATTATTTATTGAAAAAAAAAGTAAAAGTTTTTCTGCTCTGAAGATTTTGGTTTTGCTGGTTACTATGTGTTTGCTTTCCAGCGGCGATATTATGGCACGGATATTATTACGGCGCTTGTGCACTACACTGAATTTTCAGATCCGGCGGTCCGATTTTTTCCGGTCCGGAATGACATGAAAAACCCGGATGAGTAGCTTGTGCACTCGTCCGTTTTTTTCCTGATCGGAGTGGCGCAGTGTAGTGCAGCTCTCTTTGAAGCTATACGTCACTTACGCTAGGTACGATTAGATTATTGGAACGTCGGTAATTGCGTTCAAAGACGTAGAAAGATACCTAAATAATTACCAAATCATTTTAAATAAACCATAATAAATTATGACAAGACGAAAGAATTTTTTTTACTACTATCGGATGACTACTATCAGATGTAAAAACTTATACCTTTACTAATTCAGGAACAGAATTATTCACATACCAAAAATATCTGTGACATTAGAATAAAATTACTGATAATGGTCTAGTACTTAATGTTTAAATTTATAAACGTGCTATTTTTTTTCGAAGTTTTGTAAAAACAAGTTTAAACGATTACAGAGATAGACCAATCGGTATTTCGTAAACAAATCGAAATTAGTGCCGTGTAAGCGGAGAATTAATATGCTAAATGAACTTTACGAGATCAGTTGACTGTATATATAGGCATAATTTTATACGGGTGGTGTAGTTTCTTTGAGCAGAAATATTTTCCCTTAGAATAATTCTATTTTTTAATTTATTTATGACATAAACAGTCATTTCACATTTTATTAAATGCGAAAAAGACATTGAGTGTCACTTAATAAATTCTGTTAATGTTCTGTTTATTCTTTATTATTACTTCTGTTATCAAACACTTATCTATACGTATCAATTGTCTAAAAAAAATTTGATAATGATAAATTTCCAGGCAAACTTTCATACCCTATTTTTCGTGATAAAATGTAGCCTTTCTATGTTCTTTCTTAAAGTTTAGTCTATTTACTATATTAATTTTCATTAAGATGGGTTCAGTTGTTTAGGCGTCTAAGCGTAACAACAATTATTTATCTTACCTTAAGTTATCGATACTTTTAATACGATTCTAAAATCTAGCTAAGTATCGATACTAGAACCATACGCTGATCAAATTATAAATAAATTCAAACTATACCGAGTTTGCCAAAGCATATGCAGTGATATTTACCAACTATATTAAATCATCATATAAAATATAGCATTTTATAATCTACAATAAATATCGATTATAAGTTTATTGGAAATTAACAATATCGCCGAAATCGATTATACACAAATCGATTATTTTTTCCCAAGCCTATTCCTTATGAATTTTCCGGATCGCGGACACAGCAGTGCACAAGCGTAAACACGTTTTTCATTGCCGCCATCACGGACCTGAAAAAACCGGTCCGGAATAGAGAAAAGTAAAATCCCGGACGGTAAAATTCCTGACAGTGCACAGGCTAGCATTACCTATATATGGCCTGACATATCGGACCTGAAAAAATCGGACCGCCGGACATGAAAATTCAGTGTAGTGCTCAAGCGCCCTTACACTGACAAATCGAATAGTAACGTTTCAATTTCCTATACAAATTTCCTCTCCCATTTTAATCTCTCTATTTGCTTTTATCTGGAGATAAAATATAGTCTATGTTTACCGCATATGATGTAGCTTCCCGTAGGTGAAAGAATTGTTTAAATCTGTCCAGTGTTTTCAGATTCTATTCGTTGCAAACAAACAATCAAATCTTTCCTTTTTGTAATACTAGTATAGATATACGTACAAAGTATAGTGACACATACATATAAGCATACCTACAGATAAAATTACTTGTTGTGTTGATAATGAATGAATCGTTTTGTATTCGCAGTGATATATCGTGCAACCAAATATCCAGACTCTTGAAGGAGTTCAAAAGCAAGTTTGATGAATTAGTGGAATTAGAAAAGAGTGTCCATTATGCACCTAACAGGTAATTATTGTTTCTATTAGCTACGATGACGATTAGATGTAAGTAGGTCCCCTGAATGTATCTCAGTGCGCATGAGTTACCTCAATAATTAATTAAATCTATAATATAAAATTCTCAATATTTTCGTTAATACTTGAGATCTGAAAATTGAAATTTTTATAATAAACTATTTATAATTGCATCTTTGATAAATACGTTATTATTCTGAATTTTACGGCGGTTATATAGTTAATAATATTGAGGGGACGAGGCACTCTAAAATATTGAGTATTATTGGAAAGAATAAGAAATTAACATTATAGCATGTTGGCGGTAATGATGATTCAATAGAAAAATGATTTTATGTTTCAAATAATGATGGAATATTAATGAAAATTATGAATAAAGCTATCAAAAGATTATACAACGTTATTGTGTCTAGTTATGGGTGGTTTTTGGATAAAAATTTGATGGATAGTACATTAAATACTTACGTGGCCCAAATGTTTGTGTAGCTGGGCATTCGAAACGGCTCCTCGTTTGGAAAATTATATGTATGGCGGAAATCTCGTCGGACCCACGACATTACCCGCGTAAATTATAATCTATGTTAGCTGCGGATGACGGAGCTTCTATGAGGTTTTTAAAATCGATCCAATGGTATCGGAGCCTTTTCGATGCAAAAAATCAAATCATTTAGGCTTAGATATCGATCTTGGGCCTCTCACACTCGCACCTATAGTCGAGTATAAGTGACCACTCGAGGAAAAGTAACAACTTAAGTAATAAGATACCGGCACCTAATAACGTCCACTGACAGCTAAAACGCCATCTGATACAGCTTCAAATTTCAATATACCGTCCCAAAAGATCTATCAGCGTGGGACTGTTTAGTAAAATATATGCTAGTTATTTTTTTTTTAAAGCCCAGCCGGGCACGTTATTATGCGACAACACTTATCTATACGTATCAATTATTTACTTAAAACCGATATACGAGAATTTTATTGAAGTATAAACTGTCAATATTCAATAATAATAGGATCGTTACCTTTGAGGGTTGCCACTTCATTCGCTATAGTCATTAGTTTTCCTCGAGTGTTCGCCGGTAGGGAGCCGCGTGTATAGGCGGTCGCGTGACGCGTTACCGGTCGACAGATACACGGCGTACGTGATGTGCCGCGCGGTGCAGGACATCTACGCGCGCTGGCGCGAGCCGCTGCTGCAGGCGGCGCAGTGGGCGCGCGCCCTGGCCGCCCGCCTCGCGCGCGCGCCCCGCCCCGCCTTCCGCCCGCAGCGCGCCGCCATATTCGTACGTATCCACACCAGCGTACGGTCCATATTTGCACTTCCCGCCCGCCTTCCGCCCGCAGCGCGCCGCCATATTCGTACGTATCCACACCAGCGTACGGTCCATATTTGCACTTCCCGCCCGCCTTCCGCCCGCAGCGCGCCGCCATATTCGTACGTATCCACACCAGCGTACGGTCCATATTTGCACTTCCCGCCCGCCTTCCGCCCGCAGCGCGCCGCCATATTCGTACGTATCCACACCAGCGTACGGTCCATATTTGCACTTCCCGCCCGCCTTCCGCCCGCAGCGCGCCGCCATATTCGTACGTATCCACACCAGCGTACGGTCCATATTTGCACTTCCCGCCCGCCTTCCGCCCGCAGCGCGCCGCCATATTCGTACGTATCCACACCAGCGTACGGTCCATATTTGCACTTCCCGCCCGCCTTCCGCCCGCAGCGCGCCGCCATATTCGTACGTATCCACACCAGCGTACGGTCCATATTTGCACTTCCCGCCCGCCTTCCGCCCGCAGCGCGCCGCCATATTCGTACGTATCCACACCAGCGTACGGTCCATATTTGCACTTCCCGCCCGCCTTCCGCCCGCAGCGCGCCGCCATATTCGTACGTATCCACACCAGCGTACGGTCCATATTTGCACTTCCCGCCCGCCTTCCGCCCGCAGCGCGCCGCCATATTCGTACGTATCCACACCAGAGTACGGTCCATATTTGCACTTCCCGCCCGCCTTCCGCCCGCAGCGCGCCGCCATATTCGTACGTATCCACACCGCCGTACGGTCCATATTTGCACTTCCTACCCGCCTTCCGCCCGCAGCTCGCTGCATAAGCCAAAACAAAAATTAAGAAATGGCTACTCGCCATGAGCTATGATAAAACGGAATCCATATTCAACAGTCAAAATATTTTAACCCTCCCCTCCATGCACTAACGTCTATTGTTTCACACACCATCTCTAATACTTCGTGATACTCACCTCACAAGATTTTCTCTGTATGTCTATTATTGTATTGGATTAGATGGAGTAATATAATTGTATCTTATCGTATATATTATTTATTAGTTACTAGTAATATGGAACAGGGCTCTGACTTTTGTCATTCAGGTTTATACCTAGCACAGAGGTCAGATACTTCACATTGCCTTGATGTATATTTATATGACTATAACGTTATTATTATTATTATTGTATCCACACCACCGTAACGGTCTATATCTGCACTCTCTGACTATATTACATGTGAAACATCTTTCAACAACAACATCAACAGCAAATGTATTAAATTACTTTAGTAAACTTTTCGCTTAATTTCTGTAGTGATCCTATGAAGAAGTCGGTGTCTGAAATAGATCTTATTACGATACCCGTTGCGCAGGTCACAGTATGCCGCCGCAGATGAAGATCACAGAATAAAATCCACTCTAAAGGACATTCGGACTCGAAATTTTATAAATGATTGTCAGAGTCTGTTGTAAATGTTACATAAATTAGAATTAAGCAGTGTTTGTGCACTTTAAAAACAGACTCAAAAAATTGTAGACATTTGATTCAATTCAAGAGAAATTCTCCTTCCACAGAATAAATTAATGTCGATGCGAGAGTTCACATTGAAACATACAGAAATAGTCTTGGAAAGAACTAGAGTACCAGACGAGGAGCTGGAGTTGACCGAAGGTCTGGTCACGCGCATAAGAGAACTGCTCCTGCAAATGTTCAAGCTCGGCTTCGAGGTAAGAATATAACTATATTAAATGTTTAACAAAAATCCAGTCAAAGTATAAAAACAATGGGGCTCCGATCGATTTTATATGTATATAACGTATTTTGATGTTTTATTCTTTGGTAAATATAAAATAAAGAGATTAATGCTACAGTTAATACCATGTCAAAGAGTTTAGAGGTCAGATTCTTAATCATTATTTGTAAATAACTGCACATATTCATAATTAGTACTCGCTATGTATTTATGTAAAGTATCAGAATTGTTACGACCTTCATTGTTTTATAATTATAATTGTGGGTTTTGTCGTACGCACGTCACTGCACGCCTGTTATTTATTTACATAATATAATTGAATGAATACTTACAACGCTTGGAGATAAATAACATTTTTAAATACAAAAATCCCCAACGTAAATATTATGCACTGCCCATTTAATTTCGCACATTACTCCCTTACAAATAAGAACGCATATCCGCAGCTACACAAAGAGTTATACAAGTTGGTACAGCCGCCAAAGCCTGAGGAACGGATGTACAGACGAACGAGACCGGCGTCACTGCAACCGTCTCGACCTCAAGAGCCTGTAGAACCTAGGAGAAAGCGACCGGAAACAATGATCATCAATCAGACTATCAATCATACGGTATACGGACTAGGGTTGAATTTGCGTTGGAGGTTGTGTAGCTTTTTGTACTACATAGTTTTGATCGAGTTTGGTAGTAAGAGGAATACAATTCTGTTTTACCCATTTTGATAATAATATGACGTGTGTGTAATGTCGCTTCATGTTGTGGGCTGTGGCTTACTTTTTAACCGATGTCAAGAAAGGAGGAGGTTCTCAATTCTTTAACATCAACTTTTAGAATAGAGAAGAGGATGTCTGTTTTGTGTTTTGTTTAATATATTATCGATGTTTTATTGAAACAAAACGATGGTTAGTGTTAATGTTTTGTTTACTTATGTTTAGTTTGGGCAACTATTTGCTTTTGTCTTGTGACTACTTTCTATATAATAATTATAATTTAATTAAATGTATAAATTGGATCGCGAAATTGTTCTGTGTTGTATGCTTGTACCGTCTATATAGTTTTTGTGTGAGTAATCGCAATAATATAAGAAGTAAAGAGGCAAAGGGGGATTACAATATCATAATTAAAAAAGGAACATCATACAATAGAGATTCTATGTTAATCAAATCAAGTACTTTAGGTTAACTTTTTTTTTCTTCAGGCACGCTGCCTTTCAGGTTCCCGCGATAAACGAAAATTTCGCGTATGGATTTTGAAGTTAACTCTCAAAACTTTGAAGTTCATAATCACATTAGAGAATTTACCCTTTCGTTTTAACCATATTTTGTTTTCCCTTGACTTATTACATTTGTTAACTGTTTATTATATTTGTGTATATTGGAATCCTAACTAAGCAATATACCACTAATATTATGTAATAAACATATTACTAATACACTATTACACATATTAAGAGATAAGCAAACACTTTTATATGTAAATGTATTGGAATTGGTGTAGAATATTATTATTTGTTTTCTCTATACATTTTTGTATTTATATAGAAAACGTATCTATGTCTCGCACGATATTATTACAATCTTTTCAAGTCTGTTTAATTTTTGTTAGATTCACAAAGAACTCCATCGTGCCGTGAACGACGTGCCGGGCCGCATGGCGGGGCCGCGCCGCTCGTTGGCCAGCTCTCCGCCTAAACTCGCGCTCCGAGCGAAGCTCTCCAGGTCGGAGAGTATCAACGAAGACGCGGTGTTCGATGACAAACTGTTCGAATGCTATGCAGAGAATCATGTGAGTATACACTTGAGTTAAACGTTTTAAGGTTGATTTTAGAGTGTTTATTAAGGTGGGTTTAATTTACAATAATAACAAATAACAATCTGCCAACGTAATATAGTATAGGTGCTCGTTTTTAACTCCTTTATTTATAACAGTGGTATTTTATAGTATTTTATCATAGTAACTTTTCAAACTAGCTTTAAGTAAGGAGTGTTTATTTATTCCCATAAACTAAAAAATAATGTCCCCCCTTAAGGACCGCGTTATGAAAAACTTAAAAAATACGCGAGTTCTATAAATATATCTGGTATTAGCACGAGGCGAGTATAGAACGGCTACTGTCCGGCGAAGAGCAGAAGCAGGAGCCCGTACAGCTGAGGAGCGAGCGTGGCGACGTGAGCGAAGCGGGCGGGGCGAGCGCGGCCGTTGCTGTGGGCGAGGAGCGCGAGTGGGCGGCGAAGGTGGCGCGCGCGGTGATACAGTTCGCGCGCTGCTGGATGCGCTTCGTGGTGGAGCGCTGCGACCGCGGCCGCGGCCTGAGGCCCAGGTGACACTGATGTGTATCGTCAACGATACATACAAAATGATTTTGTTTCTTGTACATTAATGGCTGTTTAGCGTGCTCACTCTCGAACGCAATCGCGCCCGATCGACTAGCAACTGTTGATTGGTTTACTAGCATACTCTGGCGCTGCTCCGTTTCACATAGTACGCTGACGTTTGTTAACAAATCCATTATGCGCAATTTGTATTTCGAAATAATTAAAAGTCGCCGTTATAAAAATAGCTAGAGTAACTCGGTGGCATAGTCGATAAGCGCCGCGGCCCGCGATCGTAGTCGTTAAGCAACTTTCGCAAGGGTCAGTCACGGGATGGGTGACCAGAAAATTTTTATCTCGAGCTACTCCGTGCTTCGGAAGGCACGTTAAGCCGTTGGTCCCGACTGCATTTGCAGTCGTTAATACCCTCCAATCCGCATTGGGCCAGCGTGGAGGGTAATGGCCCATCCTCCTTAACCATCCATAAGGAAGGCCTGAGCCCCTGCAGTGGGGACGTAAAAGGGCTGGTGATGTTATAAAAATAGTTCGACTGTGTATACCTATATTAGATAATCATTGAAATTCGCAAATTAAAACATTATAGTTCTTAATTGCCATTATTACTCAAATCTAACCCACTTAAGTTTAAAACATCAACACTTATATCGAAGATTAGAACGGTTTTTTAATAGGAATTGAATCAATAAAATCATTTTAATCGAAATATGTGTTCGGTAATCATTTGGCAATTTTTTATATAATTATATTTTTCTCAAATACATTAACCTCAAAATCTATTATCTTTATTAGAAATGAACTAACATAAACTGTTTGTACATAAATTTTTTCATTACCACATCACTAAAAACTTCAAGTCCCAAACGTACCGTACACTGTACCCAAGCTATGTGAACAAAACTACAGTACCCAATCAAGAGTACGAAACGGTGCAATTGCAATGTCGATGGGTCGGAATTGCGTTCGAGAGTAAGAGGGCTGGTGTGTTATATAGGGTATGTTCCGATATACACTGCGAGCACTGCGCAGTGGTCTTACTGCTGAAAAATCCGTTCCGTTATGGACTGCCAGTACATTGCTACAGTACCCTAGGGAAATTTATGACGTCATAAATTGCCGCCATATTTGTACTGTGAGCACAGGAGATTTCGAGGTAAGGTGCTCGCAGTGCTTTTGATCACGTGATCAATCGAAACAGAATCAGAAAATGATAAGTTTCTAAATAAACAAAAAGAAAAATACTTACGTTTATTATAAGATGGATTGAATTGATAAATAATTTTTTTATACACAATTTTATAATATTTTCTTTTGAAAAGAGGGAATCTTTATATTATATTCACCTTGCATTAACAAATTTGAAAATGGCGCTAAAAATAGGATTAACAGTATACTGGACTGCGTTCCATTTTAAAAAGTCACCAGTATAACTAGCTATAAAGGAACGGGCTTCCAGTATACTAAATTGACGTCATACTGTTCAGTGGTCTCAGTGTATATCGGAACATACCCATAATATAACTGAATGTAATTATTGCGTTCTTTATTACGTTCCATGTGAGTTTATCATCAGATAACTTGATCTGAGTATCGTGATTGTTCTTATACGATAGAATAAAAAATAATACATTATGTTCGAATTAAAATTGGCAAAATATAAAAAAATAATAAACACTAATAGTTTCGTTTGTTTTCAGATGGGCTAGCCAAGGATTAGAATTTTTAATGTTGGCTTGTGACCCCTGCAACACTAAACATCTCAGCGACGAGGAGTTTGAGGTGATCAGTTATATTTGTAAATAGTCACTTTTGATATATTTTTGCCTTTATATTTCGTCGGAGTGCTATTGAAGCTAGGTTTCTCCATGTGATACTAGCTTTCGCCAGCGGCTTCGCGCGCGTGGTCCCTAGGGAAATGTTTAGTGGGATAAAAAATCAGCTAATACCTATTATCTAAGTCAGCTAATACCTTATTTGTATACCAAATTTCGACAAACATTCAAACATCTAAACATCCAAACAAAGAAACTTTCACATTTATAATATTAATTAAGGATTGGAATCTGTTGTATAATAAATATGGTTGTCTGTATGTTGAATAGGAGTTGAAGGAACTCATGGACGGCTGCATCTCCCACGTGGTGGGGTCGCGGCCGCGGGTTGACGTCACACTTGCGCCTCGACCGAGACATAGACTACAGGTCATTTATAAACATATATAATATTACAATACAATGTATAATGTAATAAAATTTAAACTGTAAATGCAAACTACAATATATAAATATAAATAAACCTCACTCGACATATGTGCTCATGGTATGAAAATCTGATAATACAAGAATATAAAATATATATGAAATATGGATTATGTTCAATATAAAAATATGTATTATATTAACAGAGCCCGTCACCAAGTAGTCCGAACGCGTCACCAAACTCGACCACTCCGTCCGTTGAACCTGAACCACCGACTGATCAGAGTTTAGATCCAGCCGGTGAGTAATGCAAATATAGTTATCATTTGTAAATTGTTATGTTATGTATAAATTTGGAGCAACTTCATTCATTTGGCGCAAATAGGTACTAGGTAATTTGCATATCCTTCCTTTAAAAGAAACTCATCATTTCCCCAATTGTTCTCCCTCTTTACTTGACTTAGTAATCGTCTCATCTCCTTCATTAGCTGTTAAGCACGGGCAATATTCTGCAGACGCTTTTTCCTATCACGACTTGGTATATGTTTCTTACCGGGTTCGACCTCCGAAACTAAAACCAACTGTCAGACTTCAGCGTAGTTTCGCAAGCATTAACCAAGACCAGCTAATTGAAGATGCTGCCGACAAAGACTGGTCGGCTATCTTTACGTCTAATGATGTTGATGAACAAGTTGAGCATTTTAACAAATTAATCATTGAACTCTACGACAAGCATGCTCCAATACGTCCTATCAAAATTAAACACCTTCCTGCTCCCTGGTTAACGGAGGATATTCGGGGTTTGATGGCAGTGAGAAATAGGGCCAAAACTAAATTTAAACTCGATCCTTCGAAGCGAAACGAGATGAAATACAATCGCGCTAGAAATAGGTGTAACACTGTGATAAGGGACGCCCAGAGACGCCATATTCACAAATCTGTTGAAAACGATGACCCGGGAAAAGTTTGGAAGTTTCTGCGGTCACTTGGGGTTGGTAAAACACGTAGCTGTAATTCTCCTAAACTTGATATCAATCAACTTAATAGTCACTTCACCACCTCGTCTCCTATTGATGGAAACTGTAAGGCAGAAACTCTGCATCATCTTTCGAATTTACCAACTCGTAACTCCCCCTTTTTCATGCATCAATTTGCGGACTGTGGTGTTAAGAGAGCTATTTTATCTATTACTTCCAGTGCAGTGGGTAGTGATTCTATCAGTCGCAATATGATCCTACCCATTATTGATATCCTGTGCCCCATAATTGCCAAAATCCTAAATACTTCAGTTTTGATGATTCTTACGTCAATCGATTCGTTTTAACCATGATAGTTATCTAAATTCACCACAGCGACAAACAGACGCCATATTGAAAAAAAAATCGATGAATTATGTCATGTGGGTGTATGGGAAGATTTGATAGGTAAAATTTGAACGGGCCCGACTGTGGGTCGTTCTGTTCTGTATTAGAATTTATGATTTGTTTAATCGTGTAGTTATTAAGTATAAATAGAATTCTAACTACTGGGCTCGTTTCTTTCTTTTTAGTTTTAATTAAAGTAAATATTTGAATGCTAGGGCACAAGAAGCGCGTAGTGTGCGCGGTGCAGCGGCTGGAGGCGGCGCGCGACGCGGCGCTGCGGGCGCGGGGGGCGGTGGGCCGCGCGCGCCCCGCCGCCGCCTACCTGCCGCGCCTCAAGCAGCTCTCCTTCAAGTGGCAGCGCGGCCTCAAGATTGGCGCCGGCACCTTCGGCAAGGTCACTACACGCTTTATGTCGTGCACTATTCGTACAGCTCATCGTCATTTTTATTGTTTCACGACAAAGTGACTGTAATATACCTGGCAGAAAACGAAACTGTACCTGGTAGCCACCATCTTTTGCCGGCCTGTTAAAAACGTCTTTTGAAGCTCCCAAAGTTATATTTAACTGGAAATACGTGGGATGGGAGACGGAAACGTTTTAATGGTACGGCAAATGTATGATTTGCCGAATTATTTTGTACGTGTTGCTATAGTACAAACAGTCTGGGAATGGCAACGAACACCGGCACGTGTCAACCTGTGATGGATGGAAGAGGGGGGAATGATGTTGAATAATTCTTCAGAGCACTATCCATGATAGAATGGTTGAGATAACAATGATCAGACTCGAGTTGGTCCAGCCACTGGATAGGCTCTTTTCTTTTCATTCTTTTCCTACACTCATTATATCTCAAAACTATCTTGCTGCGATTGATTATTATTATGTCATCGTTGTAAAATCATAGATTTTTTTTTCTCTATTTGTTATGTATTAATCTCGTAATAACATGATTTTGTTAATGTCGGTACTCCCATCAGAGCTGGTTCGTTGAGCAGTTTTTTGCCTCTTTTTCTTTTGACTTCGACTTTGAAATAAGGACGTCCTATAATATCTATCCCACGGGAACTCGGAACTTTTACGATTTGGTATGAATTTTTAATAGATGGAAAAGTCGGTTGCTTCATTGATTTTTTATGCTCCCATATCTTCGTGTAGTAAGTTTGTTAAAATCGCAGGTGTACACGGTGGTGAACACGGAGAGCGGGCAGCTGCTGGCGATGAAGGAGCTCAGCATCGGCGCGGGGGACCGGCGCGCGCTGCAGCGGGCCGCCAACGAGCTGCGCGTGCTCGAGGGGGTGCTCCACCCCCACCTCGTGCGCTACTACGGCTGCGAGCTGCACCGGGTCAGTAACCTCTCCCCTCCATCCCCACCTCGTGCGCTACCACGGCTGCGAGTTGCACCGGGTCAGTACCCCCTCCCCCACCGCCCGCCTCCACCCCCACCCCTACCTCGTACATTGATCAAAAATGCAAATGACCGATAAATCATCATTGTCAGACTTTAATTATTTAATTTCGACTCTATTTTCGTAGGAGGAAATGCTGATATTCATGGAGCTGTGCGTCGAAGGATCGTTGGAAGCCCTGGTGGTGACATCTGGAGCGTTAGACGAGCAGATAGTCAGAAGATACACTAAACAACTTCTCAGCGCCGTACATGAACTCCATTCCAAGAATATAGTGCATAGAGATATCAAAAGTGAGTCTTGGTGAAAGTTCGAAAGTTTCATTTAAATATTAAAAGTGTACACTTGATATATTATATATTTAAATTAATATTTATTTTTCATATTTTTTCAAATGTAATTATACACTAATGAATAAAATCTTATAGCTTCCGTAACTCACCCTCCTACATTCACACATTCATTAACATTTTACTCAAAGGGGGCCACTAAATTCATTCATTTTAAGTTCATTTAATTTGATTTGATTTTATTTGATTGAATTCAATTTTATATATTGTTCTTTTTTATCAAATAATAATTTATCTAATTGTTTTATCAAATTTTCAATTAATTTAACTACCAAAGTCTTTTAACAGTAATATAGACAATGCTGGGAGGGCGCTGTAAGCCGAAGTACAGTAATAAACTAGCTCGGCTACAGACGCTAATTATAAAAGTCTATTTATAAAAGTCGTTAGCATTATTTTATAACGTTTAATTTTAAGTATTTATTTTTAATCTACTTTATTGTATTTTGGCTGTGTGTAAAAATAAATATTATTATTATTACATTATACATTTCGGTTTAATTTCTAGGCAAAAGCATGTTTATATTTTCGCAATATTTTTTATTACCGACAAGTACTATTTCAAACAAAGTAGAATACCCTATTACTTTAGTAAAGATTATTATGTCGTGGGTCAATAGTTGAATTGGGCTCATCGACATCTGCCCGGGTATATCACTATACGCCTATTTCTTAATTTGGCCATCTATCATCTGCCATATCGTTCAATGCTTAATGTTTAACGATTTGCCCGACTACACTGAGGTCAATCGATTTTGTAGGTTACTATGTAAGTAAAGATGGGAAAAACTGCGGGTTTCCTCCTACCGCCTATCTCTGTGTGTAAACAAAAAAATGTTTACAGCGTTTCAAAATTATCTTAATCTGAAATACATAGAATCACATATTAATATTTTCACACCTCAGCCTCAGTACCCTTATATTATCGTCGATCTGCCAAACTTTTAACCTTGCAGAGCTCGATCGGCCCAAATATATAACATATATATAATGTGTGAAATACAATGATGTGACAGGCGGCAACATATTCCTGACCAACGAGGGCCACTGCCTGAAGCTGGGCGACTTCGGGTGCGCGGTGAAGATCCGCGCCAACACCACCGCTCCCGGGGAGCTGCAGGGCTTCGTCGGCACGCAGGGTACACGCCATACCATTAACAATATTCATAATTTATTCATACAATTTACAACATTCCAAATGTGGATAGTATACATTGCAATTTTTTTTTCTTCTGGTAGTGTTTAATATACAAGATGCTATCGGCATTTTATACAATCTGTCAAAAGCATTCGATTGCGTTAGTCATGAAACATTTTTGGGGAAATTAGAGTATTATTGTGTGACGAAAATTCACTTAATTTAATAAAATCATATCTTTCTGCTAGAATTCCAAAAGTAGTAATTAATAAAGCGAAATATGCAGGGGTATCCATTACCTCAGGGATCGGTATTAGGACCATTGCGTTTTCTAATTTACATTAATGATCTTTCTCACTTTACGAAGAATTCGTGCGAGACAGTATTATTTGCAGATGACACCTCTTTAGCGTTTAAAGTTAAGAGAGATAATGATTGTTTTGACGATGTAAATAATGCTCTGAACAATGTTCTACAGTGGTTTGATAATAATAATTTAAAGCTTAATTCAAATAAAACGAAATTCATAAAGTTTGCATTACCTAATGTAAGGCATGTTAGTACACTTATAAATGTAAATAGTGAAAAAGTTGAGTCGGTGGAATCGACAAAGTTCCTTGGTATTACACTAGATTCCCGACTGCAATGGGATCCTCATATTGATAACTGGTAAAGTAGACTCAGTTCTGCAGCATTTGCTGTTAAGAAAATAAGCCTCTTGACAAATGTTGAAACGGCAAGGTTTGTATATTTTAGTTATTTTCATAATGACGTATGGTCTATTATTGTGGGGTTCTGCGGCTAGCATTCAAGATATTTTTATTCTACAAAAGAGAGCTGTCCGCGCTATATATCATTTACGGTCTAGAGAATCTCTCAGAGAAATATTAAAAGAAATAAATATTTTGACTCTTGCCTCTTAATACGTCTATGAAAATATTTTTTCTAATCTCACCTAATATAAACTTTCTTAATGTAACTGTATGTCGTTTGAGATAGAATTGACAGAATGCGTGCTGCAAATGGCGTGAAAAATGATGTAAAAAAAAATAATCGAGTTTAATATTCATAGAGTAACATACTAATTGTTGGACACTTATGAAATTCTAAAAATGTGCTTAAAAATATAAAAGCAGATTTTTTTTAAGACTTACATTTTTTGGTATTGTAATTAGTTTATGTATCGACATACACTGAAAAACACAGTAATTCTTGATAAAAGTTGTTGTACCGACATGACGAAATAAAAGTAGCAAAAAGCAAAAACCATAGTGATTAGACAAGGTTAAGATATAACATGTGACAATAGTAACACGACGGTATGTCTATTAACTAGTGTTGTCCAATAAATTGATACTCTAATTTAGACAGGACAGCGTCTGTCTGGGCGCGTTCACATATAACGTCCGTTTTTACAGGATCCTTTTTAACGGATCCGTCGCTATTGAACATAGTATTCACACAGTATTTATAGGATCCTTGTTAACGGATCCGTCGCTACTGGATATAGTATTGGTACTATCATCTGAGGAATCCCCGGCGTTATTGGATACATCCATTATGGCGGCTGTGTGCAGCTCCCACACCCCGCGCACCCACGTGCCTAGCCTCGCGCGGTTCGATCCGATAAACGGATCAGTATACCGGGTCCGAAATACTATATTATGTGTGAACTGGCTCATACAACTACATACGCTAATAACACATACGGTTAAACGGACCTTTAAAACGAATTCCTGCTTTTTTGTCGGATCAGTATTTTCTACTGGATCCGGAATACTGTATTATGTGTGAATTCGCTCATACAACTACACACGCTTATAACATACACGTTTAAACGGACCTGTAAAACGGACGTTATATCGCTCACTGAATAGTACAGTGGCACAACTCAAAAACCATATTTCGAGAAACGTTCTCCGAAGTTATGAAAATTTTATATATTTATAATTATGAAAATTAGTTTTTTAGCATAACGGTTAAATTGTTTGTATTATATTTTTACTGTTAAGTTTTTTATTTTTTCTTTAAATTATCTATGGGATGCCACCACAATGTTGTGGCGTTTTCTCGAAAAAATGGTTTTTGGGTTGTGCCACTGTACTATTCAGTGAGCGATATGAACACGCCCGTAGTAATATGGTCGTATAACGCGACAGCGTACATGGCGCCGGAGGTGTTCATGAAGTCGTCCGGGCACGGGCGCGCGGCCGACGTGTGGTCGCTCGGCTGCGTCGTCACGGAGATGGCCTCCGGGAAGGTGAGCCTCATCGCTTAGTACTTATACCACTCATCCTCATCACATAACACTAAGTTAAGCAACATTGCATTCATTATGCTATACTGGAAAATATTAGAAAATGAAGAATCCTTGAAAAATGCCGTTCGAGTGGATTGCCTGAACATTGATCAAGATACGCTGTGTGGTAGCGAACATATAACAAGCGCTCGAAGAATTCGTCAGTCCTACCGTTTTTAATGCCCTTCCTTACATTTTTGGACGAGCCCTATTCTTTGAAATTTTTGCACTGGCGTGTAGGGCACTCTTCCGTGCAGGTTTGATATATAGCAAGTTGTTATAGGTTGCGGTCTCGAGTTATGATTTTTTTTTACTGGAGAGCTGTTACGAAATTGATCCATTCCGGACGGCGTCCGTCAGTCCTGTTAGTGTCAGGTAGCTCAGTGGTTAGAGCGGTCGCCCGGAATGGGTTCGAATCCCATTTTGGAGTACCGGTTAATTACCGGAGTACCGGTGGGATTGTTGTCCGTATATAGTTCCTTTTTTTATAAATAAAAAATGTAGTATAAAAAATATTATTTTATTAATTGTTTTTAATCTTATAATTTAATTGATTACCATACTTTTGTCAATCGAAAGGAATGAATGAAAGAAATAACATGTGAATCTTTAAAAAATCTATTTAGTGAAAATGAAATTTCCTCCGTTAAAACGTTACACGCACGATCATACTCAAATGATAATGAAAGGAAAAATGATATGCTTACATACGTTCAGCGGCCGTTCTCGGAGTACGACAGCAACTATCAGATAATGTTCGTGGTCGGGATGGGTGGGCGGCCGGAGATACCCCCCGACCTGTCGGAGGAGGGCAGGGACTTCTGCCATCTCTGTCTCACCCACGAGCCGGACAAGAGGCCGCGCGCCGCGCAACTCTCCACGCACCACTTCCTCATGGTCAGTTACACATACACATAATAGATTATGTAAATCTAGTAATGCTAGTATCTATATTATGAACCAATAACGTACTGAAGACTTTGTTACTATATAAAAATAATATTAACACTCCATAACGCCAATTTTCTTTTCATCATCAGCCCATATTCGTCCACTGCTGGACATAGGCCTCCCCAATTGCACGCCATCTTCTTTTCTAATTTTCTTTTGAATAGCATTAATTAATAATAAGCATTATATAAGCATTAATTGCTTAAGCAAGCATTAAGCTTTAAATAATAATTAAGTACTGATTACTTCAAATAACGAATCCAAATGACTCCTCGTACTTTAATTAATTAATAATAATCACCTTTTTTAATTCAAATCATCGATTACCCAAACATCACGACTGATTCAAAAGAAACGAGAGTAGTTTGTGTTCTACAATGATTTTTGTGTATGGTATACTCTTATATATTGCAAATTGGTAAATATTGCAAATCCTTCTATGATGCACTGCCAGACTAGGACAGACGCTTCTACCATCTCTGTCTCACACCAGAACCAGATATAAAAATAAACAAAGTACGTATTGGTACATACACATTGACATAATCATATAAGACATATAAGATAGCTGACGTATACTATCAAATAGATCAAAGCATCTGAATTAACCAGAATCGGCTACTGACTAAGTGTTTATTCATATAGGGTATGTTTCGATATACACTGCGACCACTGAACAGTATGACGTCAATTTAGTATACTGGAAGCCCGTTCCTTTATAGCTAGTTATACTGGTGACTTTTTAAAACGGAACGCAGTCCAGTATACTACTACTACTATTTTTTGGCGCCATTTTCAGATTTGTTCAAAAATGCAAGGTAAATATAAATATAAAGATTCCCTCTTTTCAAAAGAAAATTGGAAAATTGTATAAAAAAATTATTTATCAATTAAATCCATCTTATAAATAAACGTAACTATTTTTTTTTTGTTTATTTAGAAACTTATCATTTTCTGATTCTGTTTCGACTGATCACGTGATCAAAAGCACTGCGAGCACCTTACCTCGAAATCTCCAGTGCTCACAGTACAAATATGGCGGCAATTTATGACGTCATAAATTTCCCTAGGGTACTGTAGCAGTGTACTGGCAGTCCATAACGGAACGGATTTTTCAGCAGTAAGACTACTGCGCAGTGCTCGCAGTGTATATCGGATCATACCCATAATGTAATCATAGTAGACATACTGATTGACGCGTTTGAAATATTTTAGCAAACACAAAGTTTATACCGTCATTCATAAATAACTAGTTAAAGAAAAATAAACCCTAAATACTACCACAATGAATCCACACAGAGAGAAAGAGAGAATAAATACATATATATTCATCATCATCATCATCATCATCACCATCACCAGCCCTTTTACGTCCCCACTGCAGGGGCTCAGGCCTTCCGTATGGATGGTCAAGGAGGATTGGCCATGACCCTCTACTCTGGCCCAATGCGGATTGGAGGGTATTAACGACTGCAAATGTAGCTGGGACCAACGGCTTAACGTGCCTTCCGAAGCACGGAGTAGGTCGAGATAGTAATTTTTTGGTCACCCATCCCGTGACCGACCCTTGCGAAAGTTGCTTAACGACAACGATCGCGAGCACCGGGGCTTATCCACTACGCCACCGAGCTAACCTACTCTACATATACATATAATGCCATAGAATAATTATTTTAACGTGTTCCTAATTTCAGGTTAAAAACGACGATGACTGCAAATGCGAAACGGCGTTTCTTTTACCAAAGTCCAATGAAGACTCGATGCAGTAAGTTTTTGCGTTGTATAAACGTTTTATATAATGAACGGCAATCTTAACGAATCCACTCTAAAAGTATTGTTCTATCTTATTTCATAAATTAATATACACTATTTTTTTTAAACCTCACTTACGTGTACACTTCCAAAAATGTTTTATGTTTATAAATATAACCTTAATAATTTAATTAATTTTTAAAACAATCTTGCATAACTTACGTGAACTATTTGTCATAAATCAGTATACTTGTTATTCTAGAAATTATCATACGTTATAAACTATGATAGGATTACTCCTGTTAGTTAAAAAAAAATATAAACATAGAATCGTATATTTATGTGCCATGTTATAATAATATTCACGTCACGTATTATTAACTATAATATAGTCAAATAATGTGTTTACTGCCTATAAAGTAATTTTTTAACTTGGAACAATCATATAATTTAAAAAGAATTATAAACTTCAATCATGATGCTTAGAATTTTATTAGATATATACTTTATTACATTTGTAACTAGCTGATATTTTTAAGAATTCTATTCAAATTCGACATAAGTGTGAATTTATGTTAAAATAGACAAATATTATGATCTTAAGTCATAAATTAACTTTTTTTTTTTTATTGCATTGAAATGTAAAAGTCGAATAACATGTATCGGTACAGTGAGTGAATATGGCTCCTAGCCTAGGTCACACCCTAAAATTTAACGACACAGTTGAATTAATATTGACTGCTGTCAAGAGATGGCGCTTATTAATTATTTTTTTATCGTAAAATTTGTCATATTTTATAATTTTTTGAATGAATATTCGTCTAAATGAAAAAAATGGTTCAAAAATCAAATCGATCTAACTTTCATTTAGATTAGACATAGGATTAAAGTGGTTGACTGTATATACATATATTATAATTATATATATGTAATAGAAATAGACTTGATGTAAAAATAAATGTTTAATTACAAATTATACTACATTGTGGTAGTTATTCACAGTAAAAAGGTTTTGGTTTTTATATGTTTATTTAGAGCCACTACTAACGTTGATTTTTAGTAGATAGCAATCAATGAGACTTACGCCTGATACTACGGATAGTTTTAAACATACAATTTCTAGGAATTCTCGACAAACATTGACTGATTAGTACTCTGGCTGAGAGCGATCTATTTATGACGATTTTATATAATTTCGTGAAACTGTGAGAACAGAGTGACTCTTTGTTAGTCCCGATGATTGAAAATTGTTTTCTTCTTGCTTATTTCTTTTATCAGTAGCCAGAATCAGCAATTATTGAGTTTAAAATCAGTTATTTTGAACTGGTAGCTGTATAATCGGCAACCGTAATATGATTACGATATCGAATTAAACAAAATTGCTTTCAAATGATATTGATATAATATACATTTAAAATAAAAAAAAGCAACTATTTAGAAATAAAAAATAAAGTTAAAACAAATTAGTCTGAATAACACAAGGTTTATTTTTAAATTTCCCAAAGTAATAAACTTCTCGATCAGGGGTGTAGCACTGATACCTACAAATAATAATCATAATGAAATTGCATTTATTCTCATTATTTTAATCCCTGCACCAAGAACCTTAAGCTTTAAGTTTTAAAAACATAAACATCATGAAGCCACACTAAACATTAGACTTAAGATTATAACTTAACCACTGTTTTAAACGGTTGTTGTGCGACTGATGAATTGCATACTTAAAATATAATAATTTGTTTTATTAAGGTAGCTGCTGTGCTTACTTATATCTCTCAATTAAATTAGTTTTTCGTTATATTAGTTCATCGAACACAATGTAAATAAAAGGTATGAATAAAATATAGTCAAATATTTTCATAGTCATTTTAAATACCCATATAAGTGATAAAGATATATTGTGTATGTGAGAATATTTTGGTAGCGAAATAATAAATTGTTATTTTTGTAGATAGATATTAGTAACGATCATGTATTTTAGAATTTTGTTATAAACAAATGCAGTTGGAAATAAAAATTGTCATGCAATTTTGTAGTTTTATTGTTTTAATGAAATGTTCACATTGGCCGGTCATTGGTTACTGATATATGAAAAAAAAAAATTAAACAACATCACATACATTGCTCAGATTCCAAGATGAGTAGCTAAAGCCCCCGTATTATGGAGTATCTGAGACAACGAAGATCACACAACACCCAGACCCGAGATAATATAGAAAAGTTCAATTTCTACATTAACCCGACCGGGAAAAGAACCCGGGAGTTCGATTCCCGAATTGAAATGAGCCCGCACTCCACATGAGGACCCGATTGACCAATGCAAATGAACCATATAATCATGAAGAGACTCACCCTTAATTGTAATTGACCTACCCACAAAATGTAATTGACCTACCCATAAATAAATTTCAAATTCATCTAAAGAATATACTTATGAGTAAATTTTAAGAACCGCAATGCATGGAATTAATACCCTTCGCTCTGTTCTATAACGATTAATTATAGGTATGTACCAACCTATGTCCTACAGACTTTGAAACTTGTGTTTATTATTGTTTTAAATATTATATTATATTGGTAATGACATGATTTATGTAAATGTCATTACTTATGATAAAAAGCTGGTAAGTTTCTTTCGCTTGTTCTTCTTGTCAGCTAAAAGACGTTCTGAACAAGTGGTAGGGGAAAAAATATTTTTAGACGATTCAAAAGTACTTGTAACAAGCTTACTTGAATAAAACATTTTCATTTCATTTCATTAGTATTTATTGATCATTGTGAAAATATAAAATGTGATGTGGACTTACTTTAGTACCAGACTTAAACTATTATCTGAATCAAATAGGTCGGTACCGTCTCAATGAGGAAGTATTTAAAAAAAAAATTGTTCCTTAAATTAAACTAGATGTCGCTATGGTTCTATTTGAATTCCTCCATGACAACCCTTCCGGTTTTCTTTCTTGTGTAAAAGTAAATTAATTTTCAAAACTCAATAAACAACTCATATTCTATTTGTACTTTTTCGTATTTGTATTGATATCTTAGTTTCGAACTTTGCAAATTTCAGTTTTTTTTAATGTGTTAGTTAAAAGTAACGGCAACGACTATTTTGGTCCATTCGTTTCCTGCAAAAAACTTTTGGTAGAGTCGCCATCTAGTGAGGTGCTTCTTAGTGCTTTCTTTTTTTTCATTGTATATTTTCTCATCTGCCAGTGTCAATTTGCTTCAGTGGGCAAATGTTTAAACGCTAGATATATTTCTGTAGTTTAAACCAAACTAGTGTTCGTTTTATAAAAAGACGCAAAGGATTTGAAATATCAATTTGCATACATCTGTAAGATATAGTTATTTTTACAGCCGCCATGAAATGAGGGTCACTCAGTCACTGGCAGCGGTGGTCATTACCTCCACATCATGTCATCATTATGTCATAAAAACTAATGAAACTGCCGGCGCTTTTCAAAAACTTTATTTAGAACAACATTGAATTGACATTTAAACATCTATTCACGGCTACTGATATGTATTATAGTTAGTCAAAGCAATATTTTGACATATTACATTCACTAGTTACCTATTTGTCATATATAATATTTGTAGCAACAATGTGAAAATTTATTCAATTAACATCTTTTTCTTATACATTATGATTAGGTATGATATGGCATTATCAAACTGGTAATTAGGCTGTATAGAGTATACCTACGACTCTTTATTAAGTTTCAAACGGAGATTACACTAACTCTATCTATAGATATCGACCACCAGAAACGTGCATACACAGATACCGATACATAGTCAACTCTATTCACAATGACCGGCATGTGCACACATGAACCGCGCAGATAAAATGGCCACAGTCCCTGCTTGTTTTCTGCTTGTCAGTGCTGTCATGTTACTATGGGATATTATGATCGTGCCGGCAAGTTTCTGACGCGTTCAATTTCTATCGATACAAACGAATCCTTGGGCTTATTAACAGTCGAATACTTAGTTTCTTAATTCGTTCTTTATCATTATTAATAGCGATGTGCCAAGGCTATGTCGTACCCTTGTACACTTTATCTCAACCCTTCAGACATTTTCGTTTAATTGAAATAACAATCAATTATTAATTGATTTGCTACAACAGATCAAATTTTTCCAGATGGTTTTAAACATTCAGAAATAAAAGTGCCGGAGGTTATCTGTGCCCTCATGGTAACAAAATGTCATAGCAAATATATAAGTGCGTAATTTTACATCTTGTCATCATTCATCTGAGCTCCCTTATATTTGACACACTGTACTTTATTACAAAACTTATATACGCAGGTATACTCACATTCATTTTTAAGTAACAGTTGTTAGTGAAAAGTCACTCACTAAAATGTTTTACCCATAACTGACATAAAATTTACTAACTTAAATAAATAACAATACTCATAAAATTATTATTTAAATATATATTTTTTTTATACATCATCAACATATTATATTTTAACAACATCACACACTTTCTCGATTTTATATTTATATTTAATTAATAATAAGTCATAATAATAAATAGCTATTTCGTAAATATAATATTCATAAATATTATAAATTTGACTATCCAACACAGTGACTACTATAAATATATAAAGTGCATATACTATGGACATCATTTATTATCATATACTCTTAATAAATTAAACGTGGAAATTTTTTTTTCTATCTTACCTACTGACTAGTTATTTATCGGGTAACAAAATGGCTGACGGAGGAAAAACGATAATGATTATAATAGACTATTATTTTTGCTCTATAATTTCTATGTTTTCTGTAAGAAAGCAGCCGGTATATTTTAAATCCTCTACAAAAATAATTACAATTTACTGTCAAGAGCACCATAAGACATTGTCTTATGTACACGTATGCAGCGGTTATTACAAAATAACTAATTTGTGCAATTAATTTGAGCTTTACTGATAACCTGACGTGCTGTCGATTGTACCCTGATATAAAAATTATAAAGTTTTTAAAATTATCGATTTAAAATAAATGTGATTTTAAAACTTAGCTATAATACCATTCTACAGTTAAACATCCATTAATTCATTCAGTTCTACCTTTAATACCTAAATTAACAATATTTGATATGTTTTATAATCACTTCTAATTCTACTAACATACACTTACGGATAATATATTTGATACATTACCGATTTAATTATAAGTTGTATAATTTATAATAATTGATATGTTCATTACTTACATTCTAAATCTTTGATATGTTTTTGATATTCTTGATCATGTTAAGACATGAATCACTTTACAATTTGATATGCATAAGTTGCTTAAAACTAATTACTTATCTTACTATATAAAAAGCAAAGGACTCTGACAACAATTTGTCCGCTTTCTATAATTTATCAATAGAACCTTACCTAAATACAAAATGAACATGAACACAAATGTTCTTATAAATAACCTAAAAATGAAATAAGGCCGGATATTAAATTTGTAAGAAAGAAAAAAAAATATATCAGATTTAGTTAGGGTGCAGGGGTGTAGCACCCTAACTAAATCTGATATATATATAGAGTCAAAATACATAAAAATCTGTTTTGCTTGTTGTCGAAGTAGATATAGAGTATACACTAAAGCATGATAATTTATTTTTAAATAAACGGTATTAATATTTAAAATTATTGAAAAATGGTAGACATTATTTTTATCCTAGATATAACCGTTATTTTACTAACAAATATTATTCGTAGTATTGTTTCAACTAATACGACTTACTTTTGTAATAATCCTACATTTTAATAACCGACCGTTATATTTTTTGACAGATAAATACGATTTCTATCTTACCCAAATTCCTATGACATATAAAAAGCACGTTTTCTACATATATTGATGTGCTTGGGAAATGTACGCGCTCAACAAGTTTTGTAAATCTTTAAATACATTTCAAGTGCACAAGAAAACAAACGTCATGCCATACTGAACGCAATGTAATGAAATTTCAGTAGTTGAAATGGAGTAGTGCAATACACAATTCTAAGGAGCTGCTAAGGCTGTAGCCTCGAATAATAATAAGTACTTACATAACTGTTTGATTTAAATTCACATTTCGTTATTATTAGCACATTTTAAAAACACATAGCGTAATTATATTAACTATTATGTTATCACCACAGCATTGACATAATTTTTTAATACTTAATATTCCTAAAAAATCCCTAAATTGTGCATTTTAATACACCTAAACTACAACTTGGTTGTTCGAGTTAACATATATTACACTGATTATAAAAACTAAATTATTATACTATAATACCTTACTAGGTAGATAACGCTCACACACTCTTACACTTAACTCAAAATCACATTATTGTGATTAAACACCGATGTATATAAATAAATTCTCACTAGAATTATAACAAATTAATTAGAAAATGGATAAAATAGATTAAATAAATTAGATGGATCTATGCCATGATTACAACCTATTATAATCATAATTTTAAAAATATAATTAATTAATTAATTCAATTAATATAATAAATATATTTTATAATGTAATAGTAACCAGTGATTTAACTTTATTTCTAGTGAATTTAAAATAACAACAAAATAGAGGTTAACTCTTCTTTTCTTATATAAAAAAAAATATTATTCGCTTACTTTGTGCAGTTTTGTTGCTAATGTCTAAATTCTAAGTATTAATATAATTGCAATAAGATCTAACATTTGAGACGGTAATTTTTTAAGTAAACAATACCAAAGGTATTCCTATTTTTCGAAGTTTTTTTTTTCATTTTTAATCAAAATAAGTTTCCAGTGAGTGTTTTATCTTTGATATTGTTTTTTTTTAACGGTATTGATGTAAATCGTCTTTGCTGCCTTGATATCAAGGCATTTCACCATAATCATAAATATTAGGATATAGGCTTAATTATCCTATAGGAAATAATGTAGGTAATCAGTGCAAAACATTTTATCCGAGGTTTAGTATCATTAAAAAGAACATATTATTTTTATTGTGATTTGTATAGAATTTATTTTTCTTTTTCTGAATTCAATATTGTAAATTATAATATTTCAAAAATACAGGCGATAATATTGTGTAATGGTAATTTTATTTAAGATTTACTTTCATTTATTTATTACAGTGACAAATTCGGTCATCAACCTCAACCTCTATTTCTACAAGCTTTTATTTTCCTTGTATTGTATGTTTTTATGGTCGCTAAATCTTACAAAGGAATTTTAAAACAGTTTCTTCCATTGATTAAGCTCAAATTTTACATATAGGTTTAGTTTAGATGTCATTTATTGAAGCATGATTTCAAATATAATATGGCACAAGATAGCTTAGTTATTTGATTGTGTGCTAATTATGAAAAGGGTATCTAATGAATGGCTTAATGAATTTCAAATAACTGATTTTTTTTAAAGCTTTTAATACTGTCATATAAAAATAATATAGGTATCTTTTTATAATCGCATCGCTCGTATACGTAGAAGATATAGGGCAGATGGACACAACACAGCTGTTAACAATACTGGTTTTGCAATATATATACAATATTTTAAAAACAGTTCAAGCTAAAGTAATATATTTGTATATGCGTTAGTTATAACATTTTGAAGTGCCTAATAACCAAAATGGGCGCAGTGGGCGCAAAACCGGGTCTTCTGCCCTAATGAGGAAGTATTTAAAAAAAAATTAGTTCCTGAAATCAAACTAGATGTCGCTACGGTACTTTCTTCAGTCTTCAAAACTCAATAAACAACTCATATTTTATTTGTAACTTTAGTATTTGTATTTGTATTTCAGTTTCGAACTTTGCAAATTTAAGTTTTTTAACACCATATTTAATTTTGTGCACTGATCACTTACATATTTTTTCTGAATGTATAATAAACGTAATTGTTAACTACCATTAACTTATATTAAAATAAACAATAAGGAATAATTTAATATTTATAAAGATTAAGTACCTATATTATTATACGAGTATCATGATTGTTGATCAAACTTGAAAATCAATAAACTCGTATTAGTTCATATTTTACTATAAACCATTGAATAATCTTTTTATTATAACTTTAACAGATGTATATAAACAAAATTATGTAGGAATGTAAAAAGCTCTAAAAGGTCATAAGAATAGGCTAAGAGTTTCATAAAGATATAAATTTAATTAGGTTGCGTGTACCCACTAATTACACAATATACAATTTGTAAACGAATGTCGTCCTCTGGCACTCCATTGATCGTGTGGTTAGGAATCAAACATGTAACTAATGTCTAGTAATTTTGACACTCTAAAAACTAGGTAGCAATGTATCCCTAATATTTCTTTCAAGTAGACAAAGCGTTAAACATCTTGGTAGAATGAGCTTTCTACCTAAGTACAGGAGGCGCATTTACCTTAGGACTAAAAGGGGCCATGCCACAGCGTGACGATTCACCACTTACATTGCATTTTCTAATAAGCACATGGCTGGTTTCATATTACAGTTAACACGCAGTAAAATGTGTATATTTTATAACTATTCATCTTTAACAATTGCCTACAAAAAAATCTGTGTTCAAAAACACGAATATTTAGCTGGATTACGAATATTTTTATTTCATGTATAACCGACGACAGTCTGTTGTCAGTCCTGTAACAGCGTATGTAGTTTTTGGACAACCCTAAATAGTTGGGAGCTACTTTTTATTGAAATTTAAATGTAAAAGCTACATACATCTATGATACATAATATAGTTTTTTGGTATAATGCATACTATAATTTAATTACATTCTATAATATATCTGTTTTATAAAATTGTATATCTTTAACAATAAACTTTGTAGCAGCGATTAGATCACACCTCAACTATTAAGCTTGACAAATAAATACAATTATTATTAATAAATTTTTTATCTTATTTTGATTGAATACAACAATTCATAGCATAATATATTTTTAATTTTGTAAACATATATTTTATTTTATTTTCAATAATTATTTAAATTCATTTCATGATATGTTTATTTTTCCTTAAATTTAACATTAGGTGCTTTGCAAATCATATATCAAGAAATCGTTATTTTACAACATTTGATTGAAATTGCGATTTTTAGCTTACTCTTTAAGGTTATTACCGCTAAATAGCTATTTTAATTATTTTTTGTCTTATTTCCGACATCATAAATCTAATAAAAACGATTTTATCGCAGGTAATGCTCAATAAACAGATTTATATAATTTAATGTTTGTGCGATAGAATATATAAATTTAAAAACGATACTCAAATACTTTTTTTTTTAATGAAGTATTGAAACTTTTTGCTATTCAATACTTTACTCAATCAAGAAAGAATTTATAATACAAAATCAAAATAATAAGCAATAAAATAATTTGTAATCGAATTAAAATATTCACCAGCGACTTCTGTTGATCTTTGTCAAGTGATATAGAATAATTGGAAATAAATTTTGGATAAAGTTAACATCTTTCACTTAACTAATATACGCAAATACAATTCAGCGCCCATATTCTGACTCAAGTGTCGTTAACCTCATGGCGGCAACCTAATCACCGAGACACTAACTTCGATAAATTATACTTAGCTTATTAACTTCATTTGTCGGGCTGTTTGTTCTGGAACATAAGTTTCATGGAATCGAGGGCTTCCTCTAAATTCTGCCGGAAAGCTTCGGTGCTGGTTTCGCTGGAAGAGTGGAAAGACGAGATGCAGAATATGACGCAGTCCTTCTTCGGGTTGTAGCTGCAACCGTAGCCGTCGGGGACGACTGCTCCGTAACCCATGAACGTGCCGTCTGTGGTGGTAGCCACCTTCGAATATAGATAATATTAATGTCAGTACACCGACCGACCTGATTGAGTGACTTGCGACAGCAAACAAAATATACCTACAAGATGAAATGATATACTGAAAAATATCCTTAATTAAAAATGCTTAAAAAATCCACATTGTCTCTGGCACTGTGAGATGGGATTCGAACCCATGACCTTCCACAATCCGGGCGACTGCTCTAACCACTGAGCTACCCGAGACCTAACAGGCTGGCGAAGCTTTCAAGCACTTGTTGTTTTTTTGCTATTACATAGCTTATTTTCATCTTATATCGAAAGTTTTAATATTTTGTAAAAAAATTCTTTCGGCTGTTTTGGTGGATTTTCTGAACATTGATTGATGACACCATTGCACTTCTAACATAATCTCAATCAACCAATTTACCTATTAATAAGATTACTCAATGACGACCAATTTACCTGTTAATTAGAATTAGATATAGAAGCGAAAAGCAAAAACGATGGTCACCGGCGGCCTTAGCCATTGCGAGGCTCCGGGTGGCAGGTTTTTGCGAGGCACTTTGTCCTTCGTGAAAAGCATATGATTCGGAAATAGGTCTGGTTGTTTGGGTTAAGTATTTGTCATGTTCGAGGAAAAATGCTTAAGTTATACAAAGTGTTATGCAATTAAAAAACCGATCTTCAAGTTGTTCGAAGGGGTATTCAATTATGTTTATAATTAATGATTTAGATAACTAACTTTATTTAAATTAACTATGTTATATATAATATATAACCTGCATAAATAATTAAGGGTCAAAATAAAATAAAAGTTTTAAATTCAAAAAATATTGTTTAAAAATATATGTATTTTTAAATTTGCTTGGCTTGTTGCGCGAGGCCCTGGAAGAGCGAGGCCCCGGAAGAGCGAGGCCCCGAACGGTTGCCCCGTTCGTCACTCCCTAGGGCCGCCGCTGACGACCGTAAGTATCTACATAAATGAGTTTGTAAAGGTAAATAAATACCAGAAACACATTACAAAATGACTTGCAAAGGTGCCATCAACAAACAGTGAAAGATTAAAATCTTAAGTACTGAGGTACTATCGTCAATCGCAGGCATAAGCCACTAACCTGGCTAGTGCTCAGTTTGAACTCTATCATCTTCCGGTAAGTGACGTCAGTGAACAGTGGAGGCAGCTCGCCGAGGTGCGCGCGCGCCGCCTCCCGCAGACCCAGCAGGTGGTTATCGATACCTCTCCCCAGGATATTATCCTCCATTATAGCCGTCTGTTTACGAGCTGCTTGTTCAAACAGCTCCAGTTTCTTTTGATCCTATTAAAAAAAAATTTGTTATAACTGAAAGAATATATAATTTTTCAAATGAAACTTCGATAATACAAATATGTACTGATGACTGACTATAAAAATAATGCTACTTAAGTCCTTCTAGCTCATTCACTGCTAGTTTAGAATCCATTTTACATGAATGCTGAATGTAAATGTACCTATTGGGAACCTGCCAACATAAGAAAGACAACCAGTTACTTGAAGTGTTCATTAAACATAATTTGTACCAATTTCCAAGATTTGGATATTCAACTCGCTTTGGCTTCATGGAAAATCTTAGTTCTTATTTGAAGATAATATATATATATCTGAGATATTCGTTGTCTACGAAGCGTCTAATCAAATGTCTCACCCCATATAAATTGAAGGAGACTTTCTTTTGTCCATCGTCAGTTGTATCGTTCAGGGGCGAGTTCTCAGCTGAACACATGGCCGCAGCCCACGCGTGGGCGGCCGCGTGCGCCGACCTTATGTTGTCCACCCTACCGTTGCGGAACCGCCGCAGTGAAGCAGACTCGTACGTGGTAACCAGACATCCGTACATTCTGTGGATTATTACTTTTGTAAGAAATTTATTAGAAGTCCGTTAACAGACTGAATATTCCACAATGTTAATTTAAGCAAACAATCGAAGATTGACTAACAAAATGAGAAATGGCGTCGGTTCGATGTTCGAATTGGTGAATTAGTACATAAAGCAATTAATTGATCAGTCCGTCTGAAAAGCCATATCAATAATACATTACTTTTCTTTTCACGATAAATGGAGTTCATAATGAAACCCATAAGTTCTTGGCAGTACCTAGTTCTTATCGATGTTTGAGTTTTACTCACTTATAGTACGCATACTGTAGTGCCAGCTGGATGTAGACATCAGGACTAGTCTTGCAGGACTTCATAAACTCGCGCCCGTATCCTCGGTATGTATACACCTTATGGTCTAAGTCTGATATGGCACTGCAACAAATTAATATAATAAAATTAAATAATATTTAAATAACTACTTGAAAGTCGCATTCATATCTGTAGATCACATGATAAATAAGTTTCAGTTCTTTTGGATTTTTTTCTGGTGGTCGTCAATCTACGTGGTGTCGTACGTCGGTTCAAAAGTCTCTCCATCACCATCTCGGAGGTCATTCATCACATTTTTTTGTTGGGAAAACAGCTTACACATTTCTCGTTATCTGGCGATTGACTAGGTTATTATGTGGAACTCCGTCGACGACTAACGTGTTCACCCGTCGCGACTCTCGAAGGCATATTCACTAAAGACCTTACAGTATTTGTTTTCCTCGGGAGTAAGATTCGGGAAGCAGAGTCCTAATCGCCATTCTATCTACAGGAACATCTCGTTAGACTACTGACTCTTAGTTTGGAGGAGCACATTTAGGCAGAAATTTTATTTCTCATCGATCATACTTACCTTCAGGTTATCATGCCAGCTGTTCTTTGATACGGCTTATGAAACTGTGTAAGCTTTCAAACGAATTCATGGTGAAGTTGACGTCGTTCCTCACCGGTCCAAGTCCCTGGCGGCTTGTTCGATGGTCCTGTGCAGGTCCGGCGGCAGGGCCCAGCGCATGGGCAGCGGCGCGGGCAGCAGCGCGGGCGGGGGCGCGGGGCGCGCGGCCACCTCCGCGCGGGCCAGCGCGCGCTCCGCCAGCCGCACCACCGCCACGCCCTCCGCCGCGCTGTGCTCGTAGCACATGCCCACCGTCCCGTCGGATGATATTATCAGCTGATATAAAACGCAATTATTAATATCAGTTATATCGTTCTCCTCCTGAAGTCGTCACTTCCAATACGCGACAACGAAAGGAGGTCGCGCACGACATACAATTATGAGCAATCTAATTAAGTGAATCCCGTACGAGGTAAGGAAAATATAATATTTGTTGTCTCTGTAAGAACTTAAAATAAGCGAAATTCATTTCGATCGAAATTCATCTTAGCTTTCCCTGTGCTAAGAAACAAAGTACTAAAAATTAATAAAAGTTGAAAAAATGACCGAGTGATATTTCAAAAACGATCGCTCGGAAACCGTCCATCATCATCGACCTATTAATGTCCCGACTCCGCCTGCAGGCACATGCACATGCAGCACCTTTCCTATGGACAAAATCGTATAGTAAAAGGGGTACACACTTGTACAGTTTTGTCGAACCACCTATTGGCGGAATGGTGGCGGGTGCCGGCGCCGTGCATGGCGCGCAGCATGGCGTTAGTGTCCACGTCGAGGTCCGGCCGCTCCCCGCCGCCCTCGTCCAGGCACAGGATACACAGCGCGCGCGATATTAGCTCCATATTAGTGCGGTTGGTCTCATCTACGAATACGATCATAAGTCTGTAGACGGAGAGCTCGTGACAAAAATGTGCAAGAACATTCTAAAAATTGATATTTCATTACGTTGGAGTAGAACAAGCCACCCAGTGCAGAAATCAGACGCTGGACCACTTGGAGACAGCGGTGCGAAATAACTTCTAGTGATTGCTGAATATTTGTTCATTTTCACACCAACTTCCGAGATCTGCTGTGTCGTCGCGTTTCACGATTGTGCAATCTGAGCTGTTGAGTCTGTTTTTTATATCAAGACTAAATTTTCCGCTAATTTGAACTAATAGTACTTTTGATATTTATTCATATTGCCAAGTTGTCACCAGGTGTGAGTCTAGCATATGGCTCGTCCTAAGTACTAATTGATATATAACCCTTAGAGCTTTATCATACTGTAATATCAAACAGTAATACTTTAGGACACTTTAAGCAATGGCTACTTTAATATTCTTTTAATTATTGCTACATGTAAATTGTAACATTTTTTTATTAAAATTACTGGATGTTCAGTTCAAGTCAACCATGAATTGTGAACATTTAATATCAAAGACTAGTTAGGTATACTTTATTATGATTGTTTAACATTCAGTAAAGAAAAATAACGATCTATGTAAATAATTTGTTATTATTTTTGTTAGCTTTATAAAAACTATGCCAGATTTAATAGTTCCCCTTCCTCGTCATTTTCATAAAAACATTTGCTCCACACATCACCTATCTTTTATAATAATAACACATTGTTCTGACTCCTCTAGTTCCTGCCAAAAATCAAGTATTTAGGTTTAACCTAAATAAAGTTCTAATTTACCTTTAATAAGTTGTTCTCTAGCCCTTGCCCACTGATCTCGCTGCATGGAGGTAAGTAGACCGACGCGAGGCGCGGCTGGAGCGCCGGCAGCGTCCACCATAACGTGTAACAGTTGCGCCTGTATCTCCCCAGGAGTCAAACGTCCACGATCAGCTGCCTTCACTGGGATAGGGTAGAACTGAAAATAATAGCATAAATGTAGAGACCAGTACCAGTAAATATGACCATAATAAAAACTTAATATGTTATTCAAACGAGATAGATACCCAATAAAAATATTTATAGGTACTAGATCTATCGGGCGCTGGGTGTAGTCACCTCCCGGTTGGATCCCAAACCCTTCCTCCAAAAGAGAGGGTGCACGTAGGGCGCTTAATAGGTATACCATCCGCGTTTCGATTAGTAGTATCATGTCTCCTGTCAAGCGACGGGGACAGTGCATTAAGCACTAGATCTATCCTAGAAATCTGTAAAACTAGAAAAGGGAGATAAGATATAATTATAGTGAGACTTTTTAGCCCCTTTGGACCAATTAATGGATTTGCGGTAATAGGACTGAGATAATAAGCTAATTCATTTAAAGTTTTTTCCTTTCAAATGTGTTTCATAAACATAAGATCCCATCATAAAAATAAGCTTAAGTTAACTATATGACATCCTTCTCACCCTCTAGGTCCATTGAAATATTTTCATTGCATTATACAAATTTTGCACAGTAAGTATATAATAATAATAATATTTATTTATTTGCGAAAATATGGTTACAAGGTAGTTTTACAATTTTAGACCAGCATATTTTATCGTCAAGACGATGTGCAAATATTAAAGTCAATATACAATAAATTGTCTGATTTTATATGTCAAAAAATTAAATTACATAAAAAATAGCAAATGTCATAGTGATAAGATACAATAGGTTCATATTATAATCAAAGCATTCATATAATAATTAAGAAGACACATACAAGATAAGATAAAATCAATATAAAGTATCGTTACACACACTGTAACTTTACAAATTAGGGACGTCTATGAAACTTTTCCCACAAACATGTGGATATAGTATCTAAAGTTTGTGTTATCCAAGTTAAGTGATTAAGTGCGCGGGCATCCACAGTGGCAACACGATTATCTGAGACAAATCTCGGAAGGGTTCGGGGGACCTGAAGGGTATTTTATTCCATTACGGAAATTATTGAAAGTTTAGAATGAAGGGTCGTAGGCAATTTTTATATCTCGCTCATGGAATTTGACTCTTGTTATGTTAAGATGCTTTTTGTTATAACTTCTAATAGTGTTTTATATGAAAAAAATATATACTTTTATCTCCTTCTATACGGGCTTAGAAGCTAAATTAATGTGCTTAAGTACCGGTATCTTTACATAGTATCAAGTAAAGTCGCTTTCCGCTGTCTGTACGCTGATCTCTTTTAAACTGCACCATGGATTTTAATGCGGTTTTCATTAATATTCAGATTAATTCAAGAGTAAGATTTATTATAATGTACAGTTTAATACAGGACCACGTGAACGTAATGTATATATCAGAGTTTCATCGAATCATGTCCGAGTTCTACCTAATGATGAAACGATATGCAGATACTCACGTAGTTCCTGCAGGCCACCACGATCAGCTCCTCGTTCTCCCCGTCTTGTTTCATCTGCGGGAACTCAAGCCGATCCTTCCCCACCTCTGGTATACGGCACACGCCGAGCAGCCTATAGAACTGCTCCATACAGAGGGGTTGTCCTTTCTCGCGACTGGTCGCTCGTTCTAGTGGCAACTCACCTCTATTATAAAAAAAATGGTGTTTATATGGAAAATTTTGTACTTTCTTTTCGTAAAAATATTTCAAAAAGCTTAGTTTTGAGTTAAGGTTGTTAAAATTCATTTTTACAACCGACATAAATTTTTGATAATTGTTTGCATAGTTTAAGGGAATATCTTGTGTTGATATTATACCAAATTTTTAATAGTTTGTATCTAATACTCTAAATACAAATAAAGTTATCGGACTGAATTTAAATTTTATTTATTTTCAATATCTAAAAGTATATCAGTTGACGTTCTGTAAAGATCTGGTAAAATGTTTAATTTGCTGCCTTTTCTAAAGCAGCCGTTGTATTTATACAAATTTTGTTATTACCAAATAATTAATTTTCTGATTTGGTATTTTTTTAATTAATTAATAAGTGAATGTTTTATACCCAACTTGTTATTTCTCTGAATCTAACCTGTCCAGCATTTCCTTGTAGTCTAACAGATCATCGATGAAGAGCGCGCCAAGGTCTGCCACCTCGTCCATCTTGGCGAAGTGACGCTTGGGAAACACCATTCCAGGATTAGAATTAATAGGAAGCGGCACACGAACCTTCAGGTACATGTCGTCTAACCACCATTCTGTTACCTGAGAACAGAATTGAGAAAAATGTATACAGTGCTGTTAATTCCTGGACTTAAAAATGGTGGTTAGGACTGTGAGGTGTATGCCCATGGAGGGTCAAAAAACGTGTGGAGTGGTGATATTTGCGAGATTTGTTACCGTTTGTACATGTTAATTCGTGATGAGCCCCTCACTCGCGAGGTGCCTCGTTTGAGGTCCTCATTTCGACAAAATGAAGGAGTACTCGTTTTTCAATTTTTAACCACCTCATTTAGCTCCTCACGTTTTGTGGCTTCAAGCACTTTCAACTCTCTCACTCTCTCTCACTCTCACTCGCAACTCGCAAGCCCCTCATGAGGGAAAATAAGGTCCTCACTCATCCTCATTAAAAAAGAGTGAGTTACATAACGCTAATGTTAATTTGTGTACGGTGCACAGCCAGCCCTACAGATACTGACTAGGTGTGGAAATTGCTAGATATCATAGTTTCTTATTATCATAGTTTTTTCTCATAGGTTATAGCAAAAGACTTCGAATGATAACGCCTGATTCTATTAAATATTGCAAAAAGCAAACACAACATACGAATATCACATGCAGAAGTTATTTTCCTAATTCTTTTGATTTAAAATATCATTTGTAACAATAATATTTCTGAAATAATGATATTATTACTATTCAAATAAGAGGACAAAGGTCCATTTTTACAGTATACATACTTATGTAAATTGTTATTTCTGAATAATCTACCTGTCGCCACAATAATGAGAGTCGTCTTTACAAAAAATAGTGTCTAATACAATGGGAGATTCTCATCTACAACCCGACCGCCTAACTCTCTAGCTACATCATTAGCTATAGCCATAGCTATGAATAGGTTTTATTGTCTTTATTAATGAGCATGTTGATATCTACATTTATATTCTTTTTATTTACATATTTAATCAATGGTTCTGATTGTTGTGGTTTCCTGAATTTATCAATAAAACATTCTTCCTTAACTGGAGTCGCATTTAGAAAGTTTGCTTGGCGTTTGCACCCCTGAGTTCGTTATACTAAATATCAACTGCTAAAATATAGTGTTGAAAAATTGCATACTTTAATGAGGTTTTTTTCTTTAGAGGAATACAAAATCAATTAAATTGAAAAAAGCTTTATTACTTACACCTATTTTTTTTTATTTACATTTATAATACTTAAAAATATCTGTCATAAGGCATAATCGGACTTAAAAAGTGTAATAAGGTTTTCGAACGAGTTCTTCGCGGTCTTTTTAAAGTTGTTCCCATAACAGGCATCGGTCTCAGTTTATGGGTTGTTAGCGTTACTGCCTTGGTAGTACTAGTAGTAAATAATTGGTATCTTCCACTGAACGGGAACTCCAGGTCAAATTCTTGTTGAATCTCAACCGAATCATAAGGAGGTGGAGCTCTCCAAACGTAAGCACTGGTAGTAGTATGTTTATTGATTATGGGTTTCAGAAAGCGCCTTTTGTAGTTCACTCTGTCTCTCAACAGCCTTGGCTCCGTCGGCTGCAGAAATTCGGGCCTTATTAAAACATCTTCTTCAATTGATTTTTGAGTAACAGACACTTTATCGAAAACTTGTTGCATGAAATTAACTTTGTCTTTCCACGACAACTTAGTGCGATGAGGGCGATAATCGTCTCTGTAAATATTATCATCAACTTTTAACATCCTAAAATCAGGTTTAGGCTTTCTTCTATCGATCTTGTTAAACTTTGGTTTTAAAACTATGTGTCGTGAAGCAATGGTTGGTGTGTGGAAGAAAAATGGTTGTGGTATGTAAAAATTATTAGAAACTGGAGCTTGCGCCCTTTGAGTCGCTGAGCGTCGATGGGCGAAAAAATCTTTAGTATTCATTGTTAGTATTCCTTTATTTTGACCTGCCAATTTAATTGTTTTCATAACCTTACGAGTCTTCGGCAATTCTTTTTTAATAGGATAGAGATTTATTTTAGCGAATGTATCTAATACAGGAGTTTTTACGTTTGTTTTATTTTTAAATTGTGTCAAATTCTGTGTCGTAATTGTATTCATGCGTGTTTTGTTTTTTAATTTACCGACAAAAATATTTTTCGGTGTTGTAACACTATCATCGGAGCAATTATTTGCTTTAACCAATTCATTAAAAAAATTGAATGCCTGTTTGATTTTTAGGCCAAAATTTCTTAAGAAAGCACATGACGTAGTATTCTTTATTTTTATGGGAGTCGCAATGCTTTTGTGTTGTAATGATGATAGATTATTTTTAAACACATTGATTCGGGCTTCTAAATTTGATACAATTTCTAAATCTTCTGGAGTTGAAGGCTGATATGTATTATACTTCACTGTTTTAAGCATTTCATCTTGTACAGAAGAAAAATCAAAAATGTTTTTCAAAGTGGGTGACAATGAGTTAGAACTGTTTTCTAAAATGCTATTTGAAAAACTTCTTTTAAGAAAAGTTTGTGAATTTGATTTTGAGTTTGAACTCTTCGGTGAAATTTTGCTATCAAAGTTAGGTGTTGCTTCGACTGTAATCGTGGATGCCTGATTCCATATGCTGTAAGTGGAACTGTGATCTGTTGTAACTATATTAATGTCATTTTTCAAAAATTGCTCTTTATTTGTCTCTGATACCTCACTATTATTATTTCTTTTTTTATCGTGTAAAATAAGAAGAGTATAATTTTTTATTTGTACAGTTGGATTAATTCTCTTATCATTTACTATATTACAATTCTGAGGTATTGATGAGCTATTAATAATTTGAAGTGATATGTTTTTAATGTTGCCATTGATGTAAACTTTAGAGACAGTATTATTTTTTCTTGAAAATTCTCCATTTTTCTCCACCATTTCACATGATGAAGACAATTTGTAATTTTCAGTCAACGCTGTTTTCGTTGTGGGTTTTGTCATATTATTAATAAGATCGGATTTGTTGAAGCGATCGATAGTTATTTTTATTCGTTTCGTAGTCGTACTCTTCATTTTATTGATTGAATTATTTAGTGTTTCTGATTTTGTGTTATTATAGAGACGCGAATTTTGGCTATTAAATGATAACTTTATCTGTTTCTTCGTACTTGGTATAGCCGTTGTTGTTGATAGCCAAGTATTCGTTAAAAATAATGTCCTATTAAGATATCCTGTATTTAAAGAATCTGTCAAATGTCTGTCAAACATAATCCGTGATGTTGATGGTGAAGTGCTTGAAAGCTTATGATGAAATTTTATACTTGAAACATTTAAATTTATGTTGTCTGATTTAAATTTCTTAGTTTCATTATCTAGTTGCGATGTAATTTTCCAATGTTTAACAGTTACTTTTTTGTTGAATTTCAAACACTGAAAATTATTCACATTCCGAAAAGGCGCCGTCGTCTCTTTGGTAAAATGGGACGAGTGATCGTTAATAGCAGAATTTACAGTTTTAATAAATTCTTTGTTATAAGTTGCGTTGTTGATATTATTATCTAAAGTTTTTACGTCGGTATTCCTTTTGGAAGTATTTATAATTTTTAAATTCTTTTCAAGTCTTTCAGTTGATTTTGTAGGAAATAAGAAAGTAGTTTTTAAGTCAAGAGCGTCTTTTTTGTAAGTTGTTAAAGTGTATATTTTTGTTGCTTTTGCTTTCGTTAACGAGACCTCATCCATCTGCATTGTTTTATTACTTTTATTTTTAGCTGATCTAGTCTTGTTTTTAAATTTTATATATGATATTGTTGATTTATTCTCATTTTGCCCACCAATATTTATTATTGACCTAGAGGCCGTTTTGGTTAAATTGATGTAAATAAATTCATCTTTTTCTCTAGAATATTTCCGGCTTATATTATAGTTATTATCTTGCCCCAGTATATTGTTCAAAATAATTCGTTTTGATTTTTTATCAAAGTGCCTAACCTTATTTTCTAAAGTAATTCTCACTCCTTTGATACCGGGCTTAATAATTTGTGTTTCTACGCTATCAATTATTTTATATTTTGAATTGTTAGTATCTGTAACTTTAGTTGCATCTGCAGTTATTATTCCATTAATTGCAGTAGATGCTCTTTTCGCGTCAACTTCAAATACTGTGAATTTTTCTTTTTTTTTAGAACTTTTATACAATGACAATGTCGATGTGAATAAGGTATTCTTTACAATTTTGTAATTGTCGTTTTTTATGTTATTTGTAGTCATATATGCTATTGACTTTTGTTGTGGTTCATTTCTTACAAATTTCGGTACCACGTTGACTTTGTTTTGAATATATTCTTTTGAATAGTTTTGAGTGTTTAGAGATAACGTACTTAAATTACTTAATTTACGTTCATCGGTTCTATTTTTAGTTACTGACCAATCATCATTATATGTATTTTTTCGTTCAAGCTCCACATTTCCTCTTGTAAGTCCAAAACTTGTCATACCAGTCCCTACCACATAATACTTTTGTCCAATTAAAGTAGCGAAAAATGTTGATATTTTTCTTTCTTCGTTTTTTTTTAAATTTAGGCGAGTATTGCTGGTACGTGTTCCATCATTCTTGTATAATTTTGTTCTAGATCTAGGCCAATACATTTCTGATGTTGATATCAACCTATTGTTAATCATCTCATTATTAACTGTACTCATTTTTGTAACTAAACTATGGAGCGGTGTGGAAGCATTAATTTGTTGTTTTCTTTCAAAGAATGAATACTTATTTTTGTTGGTTGGCAATAGCTTTTCTAAAGTGACAGTATTAAAAACTTTATTCTTGTTGTATACAGTTGTATTTAAACTAACAGTACTCCTCAAAGGTAAATGAATATTTTTTTCACAGCTTTTTTTATTATTTAAATTATTACTTTTTCTTACGAACATTCCATGGGCGCTATTTGAAACTTCTAGTGCTTTAGTTACTAAAGCTCGTGTTGTTATCGCATCAATTTTTTTAAAAATTAATGTATCATTACTATTTGATAATGTTAAGGATTTGGTATTCACTTTATCATCTTTTTTATTTTTATTATTAACCCTAATTTTGTCTATTAAAATGGGTATTGCAGGCATACCTTGTATTTTTGATGGTGTTTTACTTTTCCGTGTCTTATTAGTTGTTGAATGTTTTATGTTTATTTTCATTTCTATGTTATTATTTGATGCGTATGAAACTATTGTTGACTTAGTTATAATTTCGTTAGCTAAGTCATGTATTTTTATGTCATTTATATCTTTGGGTATACTCCTAAAAGTATATTTTTCAATTGTATCCATTTTGATTTCCGTCGAAAATCCTATTAATGAGTTTGAGGATTTATTTTTATTTAAATCAGTTTTTCTGTTGAAAATCTGTGACAGCTTTCGTTGTGATTCAGTGGGATTGAAGGATATTTTGTCTGACTTTGGTTTTAAAGTATGTATGTCATACCTTGTATTTTTATTTTTTCTATTGGATACATTTGTTGTATAATATGAATTCATACTCTTGACAATATTATGATTTTCGTTGGTATAATCACTAAATTTTGTTACCTTATTACTTTCTATTTTTATAATATTATTTTCATCTTTATCTACACCATTTATCATTTTTTTATTTTTGTCGTTGTCTATAGTTGAAATTTTAAATGTTTTATAGAGATCAGTTTTGTAATCATAAATTGAACAATCAGTATGATTTAGGCTATCCTTGTAACCGTGTTTGAAACGACGATCTCCGGTATTTAAAATTTTTATTACTGTAAAGTTGCGTTGTCGTTCAAATGTGGTTTGTATTGTTTTCATTTTTGAAGATACAGGAATTGGAATTTTAATATCAATCACATCTTTTTTGTTCTCTAAAAATATGTCCGATTTTGTAACTATATTATCACTTGTATTTGATAACATTCTCGTTACTGTTATTTGTTCTTTGTTTTTATAATTTTTTGACTGTGATAATACATCAGTCTTTATGGTGCTATTACTTTTCTGTGTAATTATTTTGCTTAAATTATGAGCTATTTCTTCAATTAAGAAAGGCTTCTTTTGTTTCTTTATAATAGCTTTTGTAGTAATTTTTAAATTATCTAAAATATATTTATTACTTTGTTTTATAAATTCATCCAATGTTTCGTTTTGTTTATTGGGTGATGTTGCAACTTCACTTTTGTTACGTTTCCGATTTTGTTCAACTGACGTTCGTAAATCCTCTCCAAAAATATTTTTTTTTATTGAATTGTTGTGATGGTCTGTATTTGTACCTTTTGAAGAACTATAATACGTAATTGTTGGTAAAGCTATCGTTGACTCCTCTGGAGAACCAGAATAGGTGTAACTTGATGGTAACTGTGATGTAAAATTTTGGAAGTGAATTTCGACTTGTTTTTCAGGTATAACAGTTAAAAAAGGTAGCGCAAATGTTGTTGCTTTTGTGAATTCATGATTTTTTTTATTATTGTATCTTATTATATCAAAAGTATTCAAATAATCCTTTAATAATATTTTCTTATCATAAGGACTTATTGTTAAAAAATTGTTATCAGCTGTTTCCTTGGGGAAACCGGTTTTCAACTCATACGTAGTTTTATCATGGTCATATCTTATTGGCGGGTCCTTTGATTTGCTATGAAGTACAACATCATCATCTGCGAAATTTGTAACTGTTGATAAGCCATTTGTACTTATTTTGTATGAGTTTGTAGTTAAATAGAAAAATATATCTTTTTCATTGTTTTTTATATCTTCTATATTTTCTCGGTTATATCTATCTATTTTTGATATATGACTAAATTTATTTTGTTGTTTTTTAATAAAATTTACTCTATATTCAGGAGTAGATATTTGATATTTAGTTAAAGTATCAACATCGTAATTGTTGTCAACAACATTTGTTACTTCCATATTAGAGGACTTGCCTTGTTTATGCGATTTGTAGTTAGCTTTATTTAATAATGACAAATTATTATAACTAGACACTATTTCTATTTGAGCAGGTTTATCCGTTATATTGTCTTTTAGATTATTATATAAATTTTCATTACGAAAATTTAATCTGAGCTGCTCAGGAGGTGATATTTGATTTTCAGTTAATGCATCAACATTGTCAATAATTATATCAGGAAATCCTTTTGTCACTCTTGTCTCTGTTAGTTTATTTTCTTCTTGCCATTTGTAGCCATTGGCAGTTTGGGTGGTTGCTTCAGATAATGATGCGGGAGTTTTGGAACTTGTTATAAATTGAGTGATTGACGATGAATAATTTTTATTCATAAAGGAATCAGCAATATATAATTGCAGAGGTTTTACTGTAAAGGTATTTATAACTGAAGTTTGGGTACTGGATATTTTAGATGCCTCTCTGATCTCCGTTATAAGAGGTAATATATTTCTTTCATTAAATGACAAATTACTATGTTGTCTTTTATTTAAAGTCGTTTCTATCAACTTACTTTCTTTCTTATCCATAGTTGGGTATGGCGAAAATAATGATTCTCCAAAATTTGCAGAAGACTCTTTACTAGTCGCAATATTTTTCAAATTCCCACTGGTGGCTTCATCAATATTAACGTTAATTTGCTCAGACTTTATCATATGTTTAGGAGTTAGAAAAATTGTTGTAAGGTATTTTTCTTGTACAGGATTTATTTTATCTTGAATTGTTTTTTCTTTTAGTAATTTAAATGATCCTTGCTCTTTGGCAACTGACCCATTATTTAATTTTGATATTATTTGTTCAGATTTACTGTATAAATTATTCTTTAAAAGTCTTTGTAAGTTGGTTTTGGGTATGTCTCTAGTATTTTTTGCGATTATATCTATAATCTTATATTTTACTGTACTAAAAATATTTGAATCATTTTGATGTGCAGCATTCTTTATATTCGTTATATTGTGGATATTATTATTTTCAGTAAATGCTAAGGAATTTGTTATAGTAAGCACATAATTTGAAGCAAGCATTGACGATATTGATTTATTTGATAGTATATTTTTCTTATTCACTTTCCCATCACTTAATGTAAACTTTACAGGTTCATTATAATCGTCTTTTTTAATATCATTTCGGTCAATATCTAGAATGTGTCTTTTTTCTAATTCCAATATTTCCGATTTTGTGGAATTATTTGAATACATTGTGATTGTTGGATTCGTCTCTTCATAGTATGGTGATGTTACTAATCGATTGTCTGAAAAATTATAAAAATTCTCATAATTGCTCTTGCCTAAACTATTCCGTATACGAAATTTTGATATAGTTTTTTGTAAATTTCTAGTTGATCTAGATGTGTTTTTTCTATCTGTAATTGTCATCATAGATAGTGTTGGCTGTTTTTTCATTTTAATATTGAATAACTTCTCTGTTACCTCCTTTTTGTTTTTCATTAACTTTGCCCTTTTTGTAGAAGTAATAAATGATTTTTCCAAGGAGATGTCGGAAAAAGTTGTATTTGATACGTTTTTATTATTGTTTCCTGCAATAAAAACTTTATTCGAGATGGAATAAGTTCTTTTCTCATTCTTCTGCAATTTTAAATTTATATTGTGTTTATTATGTGTGTCCATTGAGAGAGTTTTTGATAGGGGCAGCGGACTTCCCACTCTTACTTTATCATTTTCCCATGATGTTCTTTTGTAATTAGTGTTACTTAATAGCTTAGTTTTTCTTATTTGGGATCCATGCGATAATTTTTGCTCTATAATATTAAAATCTATTCTTTCAAATCTATTATCAAATGGGGATAAATGCACTGTTCTATTAATGTAATTATGGTTGTCATAAATCTCATTTCTTCTGTCCATAATACTATTATTTTCAAAATATTCACTATTATCACTACTAACAAATCTTTTGGTTTTTTGTTTCATCACAGAAAAACCACTTGTGGGTAAATGATCAACATACAGTCCAGTAATGTTGCTTACTAATGATTTATTGTATAAATGGGATGTGACTTCTTTAACCCTAGATTTAGTCACATCTTTTATTGTTTTGTTCTGTATCCGAATGCTGTCATCAGAAGTCACCATTATGTTCGTAGAAATAGGAAGTTTTAGCTTCTTGTTGACCAAATTAACAGAAGATGTATAAATACCTGCTTGCATTTTGTAAAATGCTGATGTTATATTCGTAAAATTTGTCAAAGTTCTATTGCTATTAATAATACCATGAAATCTGTTTGTTGGCATAATTGTCATGCTTGTTTTTTCTGTTAATTGGCTTGTTTTTGTCTGAGATTTTTCTTTTAGGATATGGGCTGTCTTTTTAAAAATATTTTTTTTCTTGTCCCAAAAATCTGTCTTATGATCTACTTTAACATCATTAGTAGTAATGATTGCATGTTTGTTATTTATTTTATTTAAAGGAGTTGTGTTTGGCACTTGTTGCCGGCTATTCATCCATTGCGATTGAGTAAAAAAAATTGGCAGCAACCTATCTTTTTCATTGAAATCTTTGATTTTGCCTAACATTGAATTATTGAAAAGTATTTTTATTGATTGTGCTTGATTATTCCTGTGCGAAACAGAATCAGCTATAGTCTCCAAAGTAGGACTGATTGATCCGTCATAATCATATAGTTTTCTGTTGGTATATATTTCATTACGACGTGAAGTGACGTCATTACTTAAATGTGTGTTCATTTTGACTGTAGCTTTCCATTTATTACTCATAACCTTATTTAGAATTTCAAATTCTGTTGCATCATTTTTAGACTTATTTTTATTTTCTAGTTGTAACAATTGCTTGTTATTTTTGGTAGTTTGTAAATATTTTATCATGCCAGTTGAAAAAGTTGTTCCTTTTGTTTTGTATACAGATTTCCAATCATTTTTTCTTGTTTCAGAAATAGTTTCGAGAAGTTTATTTTTCTTTGTTTTATTTCTATCGCCGCTTTGCATAACAAATGTTTTGTTTAAGTTATGTTGATCTTCATTGCAGCCTGCTCTGCTATAATCTGTATAATTTCTCATTGTTATAACATGTAAATACATAATGATTGTGCCCTTTTTCTTTATTAACTTGAATACTTTTATTGAATTTTTCTGTTCACTTTCTAAAAGGAAATTGTAAATTGATCTCAGTTGACATTCACTCATATTGTCGTCTAACCCCTTTTGTTTTTTTTTATAATCAGGTAAAGAATTTGTAGTTTCTAAAATAACAATATCTATTGGTGACTCCGTGTTCAGAGTTTTAGTAAAATCAATATCAGAGACCACATGAGAGATATTTGATGTATCATTTAAAATTGATGTTTTTGGATGTAATGTTAATATAATAATTACACTATGGTTTGTATCACTAGGAGATAATGACTGAGATTTTGTGAACAAATTATTCAACTTATATTTGTGGAATTGTCTTGTTTCTATGAAGGTTTTGAATAAAATATTACTTAAATTTGATTTATTTACCCCTCTTACAGTTTGTCCAGTTACTGGAATCACTTTTTCTGTTGTTACTTTCATTTTTTTTCCACATGTAGATTTTCTCATTATTTCACTTTCTCCATTATCTTTTATCAGATCGTGCATTTTATTTATTTTACGAACTAAATCTTCTCTTAAATTAAAACAGGTACTGTTGTACATTTTTGTATACAAATCGAGAACTTCTTTACTAGAAGTTTGCGATTTATCATCGTCTTTTAAATAATTAGTATCACCGGTAAATAGATTGCTTTCTTTTTCTTTTAAAGTTTCATGCATGCAAATACACAAACTTTTTAATAATTTCAACATCACGTCCAATAAATGTTCATCGTTGGTCGCTTCGTCGACTGACTGGAATATTTTCATCCAAACTGGATTATCACTAACACTTGTCACTAAGGCGTTATCTTCATGTAGTGCACTGTAGCATGTTACATAGCACATCAAGTATAATAACAACACGTACAATTTGGCGTTAATCATCACAATACTAGGTTCTTTTTCACAAATTACGTTAGACATGTTTCAATTAACATGAATCTTAGTACAATGTTGTTCAATCAACACCATTGTTTAAGGTTGTGTTGGTTAAAACGTACTTAAATGTTTTAAGCGAGATAAGCTTCGGAGAACGTTTCGCGGAATTCGCTTCTAATACAATTGGTTTCAGTATTGTTCAAAAGTCATTCTTGAATAATTTTAATAAGGATCATTATATAAAGTGACCAAAAAATGTAATCATTTCATCATAATAAATAAATACAAGATCAATAGCCTCGTATAGGAGGTCTGATATGCCTTTTCATAAAATGAAAATCTTATTTTTTCTGAAAGAGAAACCCTAGCACATTAAATTGCCGCTCAACTGATGGCTTAGAGGCAATTTAATGAAAACTGAATCTGCTGGTGGTCTGGTATAGTTTAAGTAATAAATTAGAATGATATTTCAAGTTATTCCTTCTTACCCAATTTTCCATCTCCCTCTGTCTATCTAGCAACATCTCTTGCAGCGTGGGGCCCAGCTCTTCCATGAATCCGCGCACCAGTCCTCGGGTGTGTTCCACCTGCTGTGGGCTCACCACCACCGCTGCAAATTCCAGGTACGAATCCATCGTCGCCTGGAGGTCTGGCACTGGCAGCTTTGGCAGCTGTACATTCTAGGAAATATAAATAATTTATTAATTTATAATTATGTTTAAAGTTCAGCATCCATAACACAAACTTATGTCTAAAAATTTCAAATAGATCTCTTTTTTATTTTTGTTGTAAGTTGCTTGAGCAAGAAGCAAGAAAATACTCTTTTCTAATCTAATCTAATCACCTCCGCAACTGTGTTCAAGTTACTCCATTATAAATCTAAATCATTATTTCTGGTTTCTATATAACACATGGTTTTTCAATTTTGAATAATTTTGAGATACTGACCTGCCGCTGACTGACTCAATACAAGTATTTTACAAATTATTGACTGATAAATTTATGTAATTTAATGAAAATAATGTTTTTATTTTATATGTATTATGTCACGTTATGATATTTGATCACCCTTACTAATATAACATTAAGAAGAGATTCGAACCTGGAACTCGTCGTCGTCGCCGCCGTAGCCCTGTGTGCTCAGCCATCGCTTCGGTAGGGACAACAGCGATTCAGCTGCAACAAACAGTTAAACAATCACCATCAAGAATTTCACTTGTGTACAATAGACAAAACATCGCCAAAGTTTTTGATATCGATTGAAGTTTATGACATTAAATTCTGTTTATAACAGAACGGATTTTGATGAGATTTACATCATTCTCAGCCTATAATTCGTCAGCTAACATATACACTGCTTTTGTTGGAATCCGGGAGTTTGGGACACTATTATGATCTCCCCTCTGAGTGCGTCACCGATAGCCCTAAAGCCTACGCCCCAAAGTCATTCCGCCATCGCCTGCCGTTCTTCTTTCTGCGAAATAACGGCTCCGCAAAAGGAGGCGAATGCTTGCCAGCATCGGTCTCCATGCACCATGGACGGTTCCTTAGCTTGGTCACACTAGTGGAAAGCTAGTAATTAATTCACTACTTGTTAATGTTTTTACATTTATGAGTACTTAAAAATCGCTAAGATCTATTACCGGTAACAAACTGTAAAGTTATGCTTTTGATCATACTTGCATAGTAGATAAAGTAGATAAAGATGTGCATAACGACAAATATATATATACATTTAATATTTTATCTTTTTTTATATTTATTATATTTATTTAACACTTTTCTTTATCTTATCTTTAATGCACAAATTAACAAAGGTGGACTTAATATATTGTATAAAAATCTCTACGTGTATAGTGGATACTAGCTGTGCCCGCAACTTCGTCTGCGTGGGGAAGACGAAGTTCTTTCCTATGGTTCGGATCGAATCGAGAAGGAACAATGGCCCATGACGCTACGCGGACCCAATGCGAAGTAATCCAAATTCACCACAGCGACAATCAGACGACATATTGTCGAAATGAAAAAAAAAATTGATGAACTATGTCAAGTGGGGTGTCGTTGAATAGATATTTTAAAATCATCTTTAGGTTCCTTTTATCATTTTTAATTTTAAGTAATAGTTTAGGATATATAACCATTTAACGTTGTTTAACAAAACAATCATTCTCGTTAATTTTCTTACTTATTGATTTAAGTTTTTATTTATAGTATAAACGATATACAAGCAAAATACCACAAAATACAGTGAAAAAGCATGAAGAACAAATATTTTAAATGTTACCCATGGTCTTGTTTACATAGCAATGGGTGTTATAAGGGCAATTGAGTGGCCAGCTCTTCGGAGGGACTAATTGGAACCCGGAGAATTGCCACAGGCTGTTTATAAAGAATTTGATAACAAAGCAATAAAAAAACTGTTCCTGGAGCAGGAGTCAGAATCTAACCATCGACGACAGAATTCGATGCACTTCGCGGACAGGGTAAAATAGAGCGAAAAATGTTGCCATTGATATTGTGCTGGGGTGTAACTGTACACAAACTCGAAAGAACTACTTTGGACCGAGCTGTGGTTGACTTAAAATGACGCATTTTTGCTAAAGGTCAAGCATATGTAGCTTTGCGCCAAGTTAGGTCTCTAGAGGGACTAATCATCAGTAGTTTAGACCACCGCAAGTTACTTAATAATCCCCACGATATTAACTCCCTCAATGAAATGACTCGATTGCAAAATTTACCATCTTAAAACGAAGTCAACGAATCGTAACTAAAAAGTATAAAATAAATAATTTAAAGAAAAACAAAATACCCGACTGCGTAAAAACGAATTTAAAAAAATATATGATAAAAATAACTGAAATAAAAACTAAAAAGAAAGAAACAAGCCCAATAGTTTAGAATTCTGTTAAGCAATCCTATTAATATTATAAATGTTTAAGTTTCTTTGTTTAGATGTTTGGATGTTTGTCCGTCAATGACGCCGAAACGACTGAACGGATTTTGATGAAATTTGGTGTAAAGTTAGGGTATTAGCGGACTTAGATAATAGGATGCTCTTTATCCTACTAAACATTTCCCTAGGGTCCACGCGGGCGAAGCCGCTGGCGAAAGCTAGTACTAAATATAACTACACATTAGTTTTATAATCGATACGCACATGTATATAAAACGTGACCGATCGATGTCTGTACATTGAAGATATATGAAAAAAACTGTTATTAAAGGTATTTATAAACGTAACAGAACACAAAACAACGATTTTTAAATTTTTTGTCTGTTTGTCTCTTTGTCGGTTTGTCTGTGCGTTTGTGCACGCTAATCTCAGAAACGGCTGAACCGATTTAAATGCTGTTTTCACTATTATATTGCGTCATCACATTAAATCATATTAAATAGGGTTCAGCTTATAATGGACGTAGGTATACGATCACGCGAGAAGGAGAACAAGCGAAAAGAGCCTACTGATGATGCATTTAAGCATCGAGTAGTCTACAGTGAACGCATATTTTTGTCAGATTAGGTTCATGTCGTCGTCGGGGCCAGCAAAGGCTTGGCAGCCGCCCCCGCATTGCACGGTTTCGTCTGTCTGGGAGAGGCACTCGATTTACCCGAGCCTCTCCAATTTTTCATCTTCAAGGGGTCCAATGGTGTAATACTTGAGTGTCCTGGTGACTCGGCCATAGCTTGCTGGGTTTCATCTTCCATGAGAAGGTGTAGCGTACGGGTTTTGATGAGTTGGCCTCTGGGGACCCACTGGGCAGCTTGCCAGGTAACACAGACAATGTCAGAAACTTTTCCACGTCATTAAAACAGTGAGATTCACGTCAACTGAAGTTAAGAACGTAAAGACATTTCGAGTTATTTATTTTTTCTCTTATTTCTATTTTTTATGTAAATACTCCTTTTGTTTTTTTTTTAATATACAAATTGCTGTAAATACGCACTTTAAAGTTGGTATTTTCATTCTTCGCTGGAAACAATGGTTTATTCATTGGTCACAAGTCACAAGTCTGAGGTTCCGGTTCAGAGTAGCTCGGTGGCGTGACAAAAAAATATTATCTCAAGCAATTCCAAGCTTCGGAAGGCACGTAAAGCAATTGGTCCCGGTTGTATTTGCAGTCGTTAATATTCTCCAATCTGCATTGGGCCAGCATGGAGGGTCGTGGCCCATCCTCCTTAATCTTATGGGTATAAGGTAAGCCTGAGCTCCCGTAGTTGGAGACGTAAAAGGGCAGATGATGATGATGATAATGGTGTGGGCCGTTCAAATCCGACGGAAGCTCAGTTAAGCACCTCTCGAAAGTATGTGTTAGTAGACGATTTTCTTCGAGTGTGGAAAGTCGAAATTAAAATATGTATATATTTTTTATATCAATAAATAAAACTCCACGTATCTTCCGTCAAACATGTACCGACCGACTTTTATTGACAAAGAAAGAGATCGGACGGAAAGCGCTCAGTCTCGGGAGACACCTGAAAAACGACAAGCGTATTTAACTGCCCATCACGAGGCTCATGCACTATAAAATTGAATCTGAAGCATTTACCGTCAGGGACAATCTCTTGAGCTCTCGGAGAACTCATACAACAAGCGTTTGATCTCAGGAAACTTTTGAAGATCGCATAGCACGTCTAACTGCTGATCGTAACATACATGCCGTTTTGTATGAATATTAACTTCCATTGATAGAGAAATACACTTGGTTTCTGAAAGAACTCGCAGTTTGCACAAAAGAGATCGAGAAACTAGTTCGATTATCACCAACCCGTGTTGCCTTCATACTCCACAGGCGTACCGCAGATAAGTTTTCACAGGATATAATAAACTAGCTGTTTTCCCGCGACTTTACCGTAAAATTATAGCCTATGACATCCGCGTCTGATGTAGCTTCCCGTAGGTCGGAATTGCTCTGAAAAGAAGTACAGTTTAAAGGTACGAATAAAATGCTCAGACACAAGCGACAACTAGAGCGCGAGGAACGAGAAAAAAAGACCGTTCACAGGATGAGTGACCAAAATATTATTATCTTGAGCACGCACGTTAAGCCGTTAGTCCTGGCTGCATCAGCGACGTTAACACCCACCGATCCGCATTAAGCCCCCATAGTAGGTTATGGCCCATTGATCTTATTCGATTCGACTCCATTCATAAGAAAAAAAGAATTCTACCAAAATACTTCCCACGCAGACGAAGTCGCGGGCACAGCTAGTTATAAAATATGTTTATCTTGTGAAGTGTTTGTGTGAATTGTTTCAGTGGTGTTTTATTTGTGTCTTTATTTTTCAGGTCTGGAGACGGAGATTGCTGGGTGGAGACTGGAGAAGATATATGTGGAAAATTATCTGGATTAGATTTCAAGATATGAAAGCAGTTACTACGATATGAGCCATCGCCTGTGTCTATAGTGAATGACCTAGGACCTAGGTACACAGATCTGTGACTACTTTGTGGATATATCTACTTTGTAGATGTTTCTTAAAATATATCTTATCACACTTGTGAACAGGTGGTAAGTTTTAGAATGCTTGTTATAATCAATCTGTGATTTTTCAATTTTGTTGTTTTATTTCATCCTTTATTTTTTATAGTTAATAACATTAGGACGTAATGACCTTTTTGTGATTGGCAATTTAGATCTCAATGTTCTGTAATTGAGCAGGGGAACAAAGACTATTTTTAGGTGTATTTCTATATTGTAAAATAGCAAGATAACGGTCCGTTTTGTCAACATAACATTGCTTAAGAATGTTATTTATGGTGCCTATGGCTATACGTTTTATTATATGTTCTATTTGCCATTCTGACGTCAAAGTCGTGGGAATTAAAAAATGGTCCATTATCAGACTGAATATACAGTGGAATACCATGTCTGGCAAAAATTGACTTAAGATGACGTGTGACATTACCAGCAGTAGAATTATTATGTAACAAAGCTAATTCTACATATTTGGAGAAGTAATTGCCAACAAGCAAGTATTTTTATGAATTAAAATCAAATAACTCTACCCCGCTTCGGCTCCCCTACTACTACTTTGTACCAGGAAATAAGTTCAATATCTGGGCTAGATAATGATTCTTTGGAGTTATGTCTCCTATATGAAAGACAAATATGACATGAATTTATGTATGATTCTATATCAATCTTAATATTTGGATAAAAGACTGATTTTTTGCTAAATTTTGATGACCTTCATGCAAGAGTCGGAGAGTATCTTTTCGTAGTGAATACGGGACTACTATACTTAATATTGTTTTTTAAGACAAGACTATCTAATGTGTGAAGTTCATTCTTTATAGAGAAATATGGTCTAATACTGACAGGTAATAATTTATTATGTTCTGGCCAACCATTTTTACAAAAAATTATAATAGCAACTAAGTCTTGGTCTTTACTAGTGTGATCATGCAATTCTTTCATTTTATAAGGACTTAAAGACAGTGACTGAATGACTAAATAAACATGCAGGTCAATATCTGCTTCAAGGTCAGTTAAAGCTGATTCTGGACAAAACATCGAGAGAGTGTGTCTGCGACATACAAATATTTACCTGGCTTATAGACAATATTTATGTCATATGGTTCTAAACATAAGTCTTTGTAAATGAGCAGTTATGCTGTAAATAGGGTTTTTAAATAGTGAGATTATAGGCTTATGGTCTGTTTCAACTGTAGCAAGAGATCCATAGATGTACAGATGGAATGTAGTACAACC